TTACCAATAAAGCACCCTAAAAGGGAATCTCTTCTGCACTAAAGATGCACTTAGACGCGTTGGCGTACAACTTATTCGTTCGCATGCACTCATGCACCGCTCGTAAATGATCAATGTGATTGTTCAAACCTGACCGACCGTTCATAGCACGACTATGGAAAAAGATGTCATCAAAGTATGTCTGTGCATATCCTCGGTGAGGTCTGAACAATTGTGTCACAAGACGATTGAATGTAGCCGTGGCATTTGATAAACCTTGCGTCATAACAAGCCACTCCCACAGCATACCGCTCGGAGTGCTGACCGCTGTCAGCGGAATATCGCTCTCTCGCATGAGCAGCTGGTAATAACCATCGACTAAGTCGAGCGCACTGTACATTGTACATCCCACCATATTGTTCTGAAGATTCCTCGAAATTGGTGTCTGATCCGGGATGGTGGCCGCATTAAGCTTATTGTAAGCATGGACAATTCGCCACTTCCCTTGTTTTTGACACAGAAGGTCGGTATGAAATGAAGAGATTTGCTCTCACGTACGATTATTGCCGCGTGCTTTGCACGAAAGAAGTCGTCAATGACGTCACGCTGTTCCTTCGATAAAGGCCACTGCCGTGTTACGCAGTATTTAGTTCCAGGAGCCAAGTCAATTTCATGACGTACACCTCTATCGGGAGGTAAGACGGACGGTGGGTTGTGACACACTACGTCCTGAAACTCCTTTACCAAAGCATAGAACGGATCAAATGGAATCCTTAAGGATCGAACGGTCCACTACGGGCATCCAATGCCGCCTTTGTGTTCTCAAGGACAGACTCGTCCAATAACGAGGATGAGTTCAACTCAATATCCGGCCGAATGACCACTAACTCGGATAATTCTCCTTCCTGTAAGGCTTGGCTAAATTCGCCGTCAGACATTTCGTCTAGGTCAAAGAGAGTATCCAAGGAGGGAAGAGAATCAAGACTAATATTGCCATCGATCTGGCCAGTCAACCCATTGACAAGTGTATATAGTGTATTATTACTATTATCACTTCGTGACTTCTTAGACGTTGGGCGCTTAACAGTTGCTACCCTACGCTGGGATTGTTTCATTAAAGAAACCTTACGCCTCCTAGAGGCCGGGACAGTAGGGTACCCGTGGTTGCTATTCATCTTAGCATGCTCTATACGAGAGCTCATGTCTTGAGCGAAATCTGGTGAAGTGTTACGTAATTCGGACACTTCACCCAGTGGATTTACACGTACCACTTCACGTACATCATCCGGGCCTAGCCTTGAACACTCTGGCTTCTTGCCAACAATGTCATTACCGACATTTAGTGAGGTGCCAGCTTGGCCGCCCTCACTCGGTGGAATTGCACGTGTCGCACCACTCACATCAAAGGAATTATATTCTTGATCTCTCGACCCTAGGCCAACCATGTCTGCAGCATGCAGTGACTAATTATCACAACGAGTATCACTCAACGGTGTATAACTCTCTTCACGTACGGTGAAAGAGCTCCGCTCAATATTGATCTCATTGACATTGGAGTTAATTAACTCTGACATACCAATGTCCAGCACATTGACATCTTCCGTCAATGGCTCGCGCCAATAGCTCTTTTGTTGCCTTGCAAAGATGGGTTCATGACTCCCCAAAGCTTCGCTAGGAATATTGCGCGTGGCGCCTAAGGTCTTAGACCTCCAATCAATCCATGGCTCATGGCGTTCAATCCAAGCCATACCTAGGATGAGATCACATCTCGAATTCAAATCGAGGAAAAGTCGGCGTTCAATGCTGTCAAAGTCCAAAAACTTCGCACCTGAGTTCAACGGAACTTTAGGCACCGTGACGCGACTACCAGTAGCTAAACGAACGGTGATAGAATCACCTTTATGCGCTTTAAGCGCTTCAGCATATCGCTGACCTCCCTCAAGGTAACGACGTCGAACATAATTGCATGATGCTCCGGAGTAGATTAGGATCGACCAATGCTTCTCAAAACCGTTATCCTTCGCCTCTGCAACTAACAAGCCAGGCTTGTATCCACGCTCTGTGCTGGTGGGTACATAGCTCGGCGGGGCTAAGCCTTGTTTCACTCTACCTCGTAGAGAAGCAACAGAACTTAGTTCTACTTCAGTAGGGCGCCCCGCACCTATTGGGTGTCGACGTTTACCCGTGCTATACCAGGTTTCTAGTTGTGGCTGGGGTTTCGACCCATAGGAGTCGGTTGTTGCTTACGCAAAGGACAAGTGGGACGCAATTGCTTAGTGCTTCCGCACATATAACAGCGTCTCACTTCCTGTCGTTGCTCTTCAACATGAAGCTCCGCTTCACCTTCATCTTCAGTATGGCTGAGATCCATCGATTCTGGCTCAAAGTAAGCCAAGGTGCTCGCAGAGGTTGCCCTCGCAAAGCTTGGGTTGTACCCATTCCAACCAAGTCTGGCCGACTTGAAGTTGTGCTCAGCATTTTGAGCGATGCTAACAGCTTCCTTAAAAGTAGAGGGATGGACCCGAAACACCTCGGTCCTGACAACGCCATTACGAAGAACTTCCATGAAGAAAGTCACACAGACTGTCTCAATGAGGGGGTCAGACTGCATAGCAGCCATCAGAGTTCTCAAATCTTGGACATAGTCCGTTAACTATTTCTTACCCTGACGGGTAGACAAGAAGCGTGAGCGCACGCACTAGGCCTGGTTAGGCGGCGAGAAAAATCGCAAAAGGTCTGACTTGAGCGAATCCCAAGTGGGAAACGTCAAGTTGACCGACGTGCCACACGTCAGAGCCCACTCTCTAGCTCTTCCATCGAGCTTTGAAATAGCCAGCGAAACCCGCTGGTACTCCAGTGAGATAAGACCAGAGCTCATGGCCATCTCAATCTCACGGATCCGGAAGGTGAAATTTCCCCCTCCTTCCCGGAGTAATGTTTAACGTCCACCCGAAGGGGACGTGGCTTAGCCTCTTCATCTGGCATCGCCACGTAGCGTGTCGGCATAGCCGACGCTACCTGGTTTTGAGCCTGCCTAAAAGGGACGTTTCATACTGCATGAAGGTCTCGACTCGTGCGGTGAGCACATCGGGACCTTGTGCAGCTATAAACTCCACATATTCTGGGCCTATGGTCGCGTTCAACTTATCAAGCGCGACCTTTTGAGCCTCAGGGAGGGGTGTGGATTGCTCCATTCTCACAGAGGATCAGTCGTTACCGACTTAGGCGTAGATTGACTAGAGGTGCTACCAAGTGTAGCGGAGCTCCACAGCTCCTTAAGTCAGAGGAAGACTTAAACGCTCAATGAGCAACTTAAGGTCCAGAGAACCCGACTCAAAGAGTCAACAAGCTTAGAGAGCTTAAGGTCCCTGTTCCAGGGGGACCAAACGATTCAAAGAATCAAACGCACAGAGTGCACAAGGAGTAGCTGCCTTAACAAGGCGTTGCTATCTCCTTAAAGATCACAAGACGCCTCAAAGAGGCACGTGTCTATCGGATCAAAATGGGAACTGAATTTTGTTTCTTCATTTAACCTAAAAGAACACCTTAGAACATTGTACTTAACCTACTCGCTCATGTCCTAAATAAACCTCTCAAAAGATCTCGTAATCAATGATTGACAGACATCAGTCTTCAACAACTAATAATGTGCTCTAATATTACTTTAAAAGGGGATCCCATCCCTTGTGTGCACCACACCAATTGTCGGCTACCAGTCGACGTGTAACCCCGTTACAGGAAAGGTCATCTTCCGCTTTTACTCGACACACTTTGCACGGAATAGGGCGCGCGTAGTAAAGCCAGTAGCCATGAGTGAAGGCGATGTGGCTATACCTAGCATGAAGGCCGCCTGGACGTTGGCGTTCGACGAGTACAATGTGTTTGCCTCCACTCTGTAGGGTTCCATGTTCCTATCAGCACCAACTGTAACGGGGCACGCCTTGAGTCAATTCAGCGCAAGGTTGTGTGCACCCGACGTCACGTACACGTGGCGTGAGGAAGCGCATCGAAGTAGGTAAAACTCGAAAGCTCTGTCGAAGGGAAAAAGTAGAACTGTGTTTCATTTAGTTATGTTTCTTAATAAACCATCTTTTGTCGTGAGCTAACTATATTAAACTACAATCTCTTATGTGGGTTTCTTGCTCACCACCCATTGCGCGCGTCCAGCAGTGATTGGCGGTTAATCTGGTTGATGTACCGTGAACATCAACCATCATGTGGAGCAACCCATCAAAGAAATATTACCCTCGGAGGTAATATTCCTTCAACTTTACTCCTTACGAGTAATGTCAATTGAACATTATCGAAATCGATAGTGCTCAAAAATTGATACAAAGATATCAATTTTTATGTAGCGGGCTCACCAAGTTACGCCAACGGCACGATGCAAAGTGCGCGATAATTAAACGACAGACAAGCGGTGGCTCTATTTGTGAGCTTCTTCCTGCTGTTGTCGATCAACGTGATCTTTTGAAGCTCTTGCCGAGTGATCTTTAGGACGATGATGATCAGCAGTCGATACTGGAACAGAAGAAAGCACAAGAAGATCAAAGTAAGATGACATCAAGCTGAAGCATCAAGTTTTTTTTTGCAGAGCCGACGAGTGGACTGAAGTTTGCTTGGATCAGTTGACGGTGGAGTGTGTGCAGCCAGTTGCGTGTAGATGTCGAGCTTTCGGTGCACTACCCACCATCCTGACGTTTCGAGTCTTTACATCTTTTTTCGCTGTTGCGATGATGGTTAGCACAATGTTCTGTCTGATACCGGCTGCGAGAGCGTGAAGAAGATGTGCCATCCAGTCACCACACGACCACATTTTTGTGAGCGCGAGGAAGTCGGTATGAGGGCATGGAGGAGGAGCTCGTAGATATGGTATATTTCTTTGTTTCTGGCAGTTGTTTTCACTCGGAACATAGCAAAAGTTGCCATATCCGCAACATGCAGCACATGCAAATAAATGGTCATTGAGCGACAACTAGACGAGCTGAAGGCGGCGGCAGATGTGAAGAGCACGTAGGGGGCTACTTCTTTTGCCGAGTCGTTGTGACTGAAACATACGACATGCTGGGCTTGAAAGTCGATTGCGGCTGGGGGAGACTGAAAGGAAGAGGAGGCATGCCGGCGGGAAACTGCTGCGGTTGGCCCATGGGTAAAATGCCTGCTGGAGCCACGGGTGGAGGAGATGGACCGCCAAAGCCGCGGAAACCAGGCGACCCATGGCTGCTGCCCTTGTTGTGAAACTGCATCGCGAGCGCAGCAACGTCAAAAGCGCCACCTCCGCTGCCCGACGGCGGCAGCGGGGGAGGTGGGGGTTGTGCGTACCCACGTGACTGCATCGCACCTGGTGCCACTTGTCCTCGTGGAAAATACGTAGGGTCCAGCGGCGGCATCGTTGGCGGCATGGGATATCCCGGTGGCCCGTTCATGGACTGGGCGTTTGGCATACAAAGCATATGCTGTCCAAAGATCGCTTGGCCGTGCTTTTGCTGATCTGCATGCGGGTGCTGTCGGTGCTGCTGCTCCTGCGGAGCTGGTAATCGATGAAAAGACGGTGGCAGTGGGGCGGCGTCAGGCGGGAGTGGTGGGCAGCTTGCTTGCACAGACTTGGCAAACTCGGCAAAGTTGAAGCTACCAGTGTCGTCGCGTTCGTGATCGACCGCATCGTTGCTCTCGGAAACATCAAACAAGCCCGGAGGAGGCGCCGATCTGGAAGGTGGTGGCGGTTTACTGCACAGCTGGATTTTCTCGTCGTCTACACGGACAGAAGTACTCGGAACTGCTGGCGGCGTAGGCAGCGTCTCCCGGGCAAAACCGAAGCGTGATTGACTCACAGTCTCCGCATGCGCGTCAAACTCCTGCTGCTCGTTTTCGCCAACTGTATTGATATGTGCCTGACGCCCCTTCTCGTTCAAGCCACTCTCGTCCTCATTCTCTGCTTCGACTTGCGCTTTGTCCTTGCGCAAAAAGACTTCCTCTGTCTCGAAGAGGACAACTTCCTTTTCAACTGGCTCGAGTTCAACCATCTCATCCTCCGCTTGACCGCCCAGCAAAGCTTGGAGGTTCTGCTGCACTGCGGTGTCATGATATTGCGCAAGCCGCAATTCTGCGTATTGTCGGAACTCCAGTAGCCGAGTCTGCTGTGCCTTGTCAATCAGCACGAGTTCGTCAGCAAATGCCTCGCGAAGACGCAATCTCTTGATAAACGTCGTTGCCACGTGAAACTGTCCACCTTCAATGGCTCTACGAATGAGCGCTTCCACATCATACTGCGGCAAATACTCAGTGTGGTCTTGGTCGTTCAACACTGGCTCCTCACCATTCGCAGCAGCAAGCGCAGCTGCAGCATCCTCGAGCGGATTCTTGGCCAGCTTAAACTTGATCGCGTACTTGATCGCCTTGTAAAACTCGCCATGTGCGAGCATTGTGTCCACCAAGAACTGCAGCAACTGTCTCGTCGCGTCTGTAGTTCCCTCGTCAAGCTTCAGCTCGCGCAAGTACCGCAGGGACGTCACAAAGTCTCCCACCTGCGCTGCCGCACGCACCAGTGCTTCATAAAACTCAGCCTTCGTCGCAGCAGTTGCGTCCGACAAGCGGTTCACGCACTTGACCGCCAGCGACCACTGTCGATGCTGCAACATCTCGACAGCAAGTGGCGCCATGGGAAACTCCGTGACCAGCTGCATCTCAATGATGCTCGAGATGGCCTCATCCCAGCACCTCATGTCCAGCATCCCCGCCACCAACTGAGGCGCTGGAAACAGCTCCAGCAGGCCAAACTGCTTGGCGTACTTCAGCGCGGCTCGGTACTTTCGAGCACGCACCATGGCTTGAATCAACGCCACTGGCGTCCAGCGCGGCTGCTCCACCGAGGCCGCACCAGCAGCTGCACCAGCACCAGCGCTCGTCTGCTCCTGCATCGCCTGCAGCTGCTCAAACTGCGGCACCATCTCGCCCGCAAGGCGCACCGCAGCGCTAAACTGCTGCGCGCGCACCAGTTCATTGATCAACAGCGTCACGAGCGCCTCGTTCTGCTGCAGCTTCAGGTCGCGCACGAGCTGCGCCGCTTGTTCCAGCGCAACGGCACTCGAGGCGCTGTCCAGCATCAGTCGCGCAACGTCAGCGGTCTCGAACCGCGCGCGCAGGTGCGCACTGGCCGCGATGAGGAACGCCGCGTCGTGGAACTGGCGCCGCTGGAGCAGCTGCTGGAGACGCGTCTCGAGCTGTGCAGCTGTTGCAGTGGCCGTGAACGTGCGCGCCCGCGCGACGCCGCGAGCGTAAGCGGACTGAGGGGCAGCAGAGGCTTTTGAAACGGGCGGCGGCGTCGATTGCGGCGTCGGGTGCGCTCGCTTGGGCTGCGACTTGGACCGTCTGGACGCGCTGGCGCTCGAGCGCGACGTCAAGTCGCTGGGCGTCGCGCGGGGGACCGGCGGCGGGACGTTCCGCCAGTTGGCGGGCGCCGACTGCGTCGTCATTAATGACGCCGAGCGAGGGGGAATTCCAGAGTGGCCGATGGGGTGCGCGCCGATGTGGGGTGGCGGTGGTGTGGCGCGGCGGCGGTGGGCCGAAGGTGACGCGAGTGGAACTCGCCTGCGCGGGGTCGATGATGGAAAAGGGGGTACGTTTTTGTTACACGTGACAAGTCGAGACGACCAGAGCAGGAAGCGAGCGCCTTGTGCCTATCTACTTACCTACTCACCGATGCGACAAGGGCCGAGAACTTGCACAGCGGACATTGTGGTTTCTCAGCGAGCCACGGGTCAATGCATTCGAGATGGAAGCGGTGGAAACACGGCAGGATCCGCACGTGGCTGTTGACGTGGAAAGCACTGAGGCACACTGTGCAACTGGCGTTCGCGGGTGCTTGCACCATGCTCTCTCTGTCGTTCGTAGTCAGCAGTACATGAACACAAACAACAGATACCAAACATAGGCACAAACGTGCAGCACATGTCAGCACGTTCTCCAGCAGCTCACTTGCCAGCCAAGAGCTTGCAACGTCGAGAGACGAAGGGATACACAGCACACGCAAGAGAGCGCTCGGAACGTACGTCACAGTGACAACGGGCAGCTGCTGAATCTGCTGCAACGTGGCACCGAGTATCGGACGTCCATTGAGCGCTTCGAGCCTCATCAGGTGCTCGTAGTCGTCGCTGCCAAAGTCTCGGTTGCTCATCAGCAGCTCGAGCATGTCGCCATCCAGCTGCTCGTACAAGGCGCGGCTCATTTCCAAGACACGGCGCGGCGCGTGTCGCTGTCTTTGCTGCCTCCAGCTGCGCTTCGTGCTCACGATCATCATCTCCAGCAGCGAAATGATGCCGTACATGACCAGAGGCAGACCGACTGCAGGACAGAAAAGAGATCGAGGGACAGCGAGACAGTAACGTTCGTACAGCAGAGCAATGGCTACAGCACACAGTACATAGGACACACACACACACAAAGAGACTCGAGCAGTCACGTACCCGATAGAGCGAGAGGCACGAGCAGCTGTGGACAGTACGCGACCGTCGCACCGACAACGGCACTGAGCAGACCCGTCGCCAGGAGCCGCCACGCGCGCGCCCCGTGCATTGTCGTGGTCGGGTCAGCAGCGGTCCTGTGCCATGGCGATCGCATGAAGTCGTGGAGGTTGCACGAACGAAATGGAGGTCGCGGGATTGTGGCCGCTTGCGATTGGTCGAAATGCCGTCCGCTGCCGCCGTTCCCCCTGTTGTCGGCCCGTCCGCACCCACTTGTCGGCTTTTCTCTGCCCCCAGCGGCCCAGTCAGAGAACAGCCCACACAAAGACAGAGACGTCAGACTCACACAGAGAGAGAGAGAGAGAGAGAGAGAGAGAGAGAGAGAGAGAGAGAGAGAGAGAGAGAGAGAGAAGAGAGAGGGCGAGAGAAGAACGTGTCATCACTGTGGTCGCCCGCCGCCTGCCGCTCTCTTCTTTCTGACGTGGTGGGAGCCCCATGAGTGACAATAAGGAGTACAAACTGGTACGACGTGGGCCGTTGCGCGTTCGTAGCGCCGCCCCAGCGATCCACCCGCTGCGGTCGCTGGGCCCGCGCGGTTCGATTCGATCTTATTGTGTGTGTGTGTTTTTTTTACACTCACCGATGCTGCTGATTGTTTCCATGTTGTGGTGTCGCTGTGGATGCCGTGTTGTTGGTTTGGGTACTTGGAACTGGATCTGTGTAGGTGGTGCTGGGCAGCGGAGGTGTGGGGAAATCGGCACTGACGATCCGCCTCGTGACGGACAATTTCCTCGAGGATTATGATCCCACTATCGGTGCGGCCTGCAGTGTGTTCGGTCGTGATGGAGCGCGCGTTGTATCCTCACTTGAGCCCGCCCCTTGTCGTTGCTGCTTCTTTCCATGTCGATGCCCTGGACGCAGAGGACAGTTACCGGAAGCAGACGACAATCGACAGCAGCCCTGCGCTGCTGGATATCCTGGATACAGCCGGCCAGGAAGAGTACACGTCCATGCAAGACCAGGTACGCCGCTGCCGCGAGACGTGGGGGGTGCATAGGCTCACGCTGCACACAGGAGGTTGCTAATGACCTGGTTTGCTGTTGTTGTGCTGTAGTGGATGCGCGAAGGCAAAGGTTTTCTGCTGGTCTACAGCGTGACGAGCCGCAGCTCGTTCGACGACATTGTTGCGTTCAAGGACAAGATCCTGCGCGCGAAGGACGTGGACAATGTACCGATCGTGCTCGTGGGCAACAAGTGCGACCTGGGGATTCAGCGCCAGGTGGTGGTCGATGAGGGCAGATCACTTGCGCGCCGGTGGGGTTGTGCGTTCATGGAGACGAGCGCCAAGGAGAGAGTACGTCCGACTTGTTTTGGATAGCGTGGGCGCAAGAGCTGATGTCGTTTTTTCTGCCGTCTCGGTAGATATTGAACGAAGAGTGCTTCTACCAAGTGGTGCGCGAGATCAGGAAAGCTGAGCGTCCGGCGCGCGTGGAGCGACCTCAACCCACCCAGAAGCCACAAAAGAAGTCTGGGGTGAAGTGCACCATCCTATAGAAGCGCACGAGACCCCTGAGCTCTCGCCATGTTTCGTCGCGTTCAACAAACCCCGTTGCTACGACCGCCTCGTCTCAATGTTTGCTGCTTACATACCATCAGTCAGTTTAGCCCCATTCGAACCAACCCGATTAGCCATATCGCCGCCGCCGCCCCGTACCGCTCTCTGCTTTATGGATCGTGCCAAGTCATCAACGTGCCCGCTCTGGATATGTTTGTCCGTCGTCTCATTCGTTCCGTTCTCGCTCCTGTTGGCGGTCCAGTACGGGCGGAGTTAACCGATGAAAACGCGAAATAAACGTTCACCAAATGCCTTGAGCAGATACTCCGTGCACACTATGGAAACGATTTGGCGCTTGTTCTTATGTAAAATGCATATTGCAGCTTGCACACCGGACGTCACTCTCACCTATTCAAACGATCGCGACCTCACTGGAAACGCGCCAGGGACTTGGCTGGATTCCCAACAAGCACCTCGCAAGCCGATGATCACGACGACTTGACATTGCTCACCACACGTGATCCGCATGACCGCTAAGACTTCTGCGCGTCCGAACAAAAGCGTGAGCTAACTGCTCACCCTCCTGCTCATTTCACCATCACCGCGCACATATCACCCATCCCATCACGACGAAATGCCAGTCTGATACCTTACGCGATAGTTCACGAGGTTAGCTGGCGCGTTATCCATGTACTGCTCCAGCCACGACACCATTTCAGCTTCGGAAGACCCAAAATCATCACGAAAGATACGAAGCACACGCGGCAGCACGATTTCCCCGGTGGCCTGATTGATTTCGACCAAGCGCTTACAAAACCTTTCCGCTTGTTCCTCCAGGTCCGTGTCCGTACGCCCAGGTTTTAGGATCGGGACATCCTCGGCGTTAGGCAGAGGTTCGGCGCAGTCGATCAGCACCAACAGCGAGCGAGGATCGCGAATGTGCAGTCGGTACTGCAGCTTCGGGTCCTGGGCTTGCAGCTGTCGTTCCCAGTAGTTTGACGGCGGCTTGCGGTTGCATCGCAAAATGCCGTGCTTGATGTCGCCCAACGTAAAGTCTAGACCGCCAATCGTGTATGCCACGTCCCGCTCAAAAGCCTTGTACTGGCCGATGTTCTGCGGCACACCAAACTCGATGAGGCCGTGAAGCACCATGACGTTGTATATGTTGATGAAAAACGGCTGACGCTCGTGCTTGGGAAGGCTGCCAACGTCCACTCTCTGCAACTTCGACGCAAGCTTCAGGAAGCGACGATACTTTTGACACAGCGGGGCATCGAAGTACACGGCAGCTCTGTTTCCTGACACGGACAAGTGCGTTGACAAGCTAAATCCAGTAGCGATTCCGCGAGGAAACGACTTGAGCGCGTGCAATTCGGCAATCGCTTCACAAACGCGTAGACATACTTCCATGGCGCTCTGTCGAACATCTTCGACACACACGTACTTCATATTGAGCGGGACAAACAGCTCATCGACTTGAAAGCGCAAGTACGTGTTTGGCGACGACAAGTCTGGGTACAACATATCTTCCGCAAACACAGCATTGAGCACACGATTCTTCAGATACTCTGACAAAATTGCAGTGGCCTGCTCAGCAGTCTTCTCGAACTTTTGCGTCAGGGTGCGGACGAGCTCATCCGCGGCGATACAGGCCGTGTACGTAGTCAAAAGTCCGGCACGAATGTTCCCGACAGTTATCTGGGCTCGCAGCTTGTCAGCAAACGTATCCTCCACGTATCCAGGAGAATCCGCCGAGATCTTCGGCAAATCGCTCTTCTGCTGAGGACGGGCACCAGGATGAACGACAGGCTCAGACGCAAGGCCGACAGCAACCGAGGCAATTGCTGAGGTGCGCAGCTTTCCATTGTTGAGCCCAGCATTTACCGAGCCATCGCTACGGGTGGATACAGGCGAGCCTGATTCAAGAACCGAGTCGCCAAAACCGCTTGTTGACGTTTCGCTGCCATTGTTATGATTGCGGCGACGCAGGCTAGGTGACACGGGCGACACGGGTGGATTGCCGGCACCCATGCTGTACAGAGAAGGCTGGTGCAACTTGGCCTCAAGTTCTAGCGCCTCCTGGAATTCCGACACGTGCTCGGATAGGAACGCTTGAATAGGCGCTTGCACGAATGGAAATCGACAAATGTCTTCAATTGACGGGCGCTTCGACGCATCTTGTTGCAGCATCAGCTGCACCAGGAGACGTAGTTCGCGCGAGAACGACGGAAAGATAGATGGAAACTCGCCCCTGCAGATTTTCGTGAAAATTTCAGGAAGCGTAGACGCCTCGAACGGACGTCGTAGCATGATCATCTCGTACAAGATGCATCCAAGGGACCAAATGTCCGACTTCTTGCCGTACGGTTCGCCGCGACAGATTTCCGGCGACATGCTCTCAGGTGTACCACATGCCGTATTCGCCGTATCGTCTCCTGCCAAGGCTTTCGAAATGCCAAAATCGCCAAGTTTCACCACGTTCTTGTGCGTGAGGAACACGTTCTGTGCTTTCAAGTCGCGATGCAGCACGTTCTTGCCGTGAATGTACGCCACTGCAAGCACCAATTGTGCAAACCAGCTCATAATCACTGGCTCGGGGAACGGACCCATTTTCTCCCGTGCGCGCAGCTTCACCAGTTGACGCAAGTTGCCGCCGTCCGAGTACTCCATGACGATATTGAGCTCGTCGTCGGCTAGAAAGTGGTCGTAAAAGCGCACAATGTTCACGTGGTAGAGCGACTTGAGCAGAATCACTTCATTGTCCGCTTGTTTCCGTCCGTTTTCCGAGATCTGCGAAATGCGCACGCGCTTCACTGCAACAACAGCTCCGTCCAGTTTCCGCCGCGCGAGCACAACCGTACCGTGCGTGCCTTTTCCAATGGTCCGAATGATCTCAATGTCCTGCCACATGCTGCGATTCGACGTCCGTTCCAAGCGGCGACTGAGCCACACGTGCCGCACGAGTGTCTTGGCCGTGTTCACCTGGATGGGCTTAATCAGGTAATCCTTCGAGCCTTTGCTCAAACACGACGTGACCACGTCCATCTCTTCGTTGCTGGACGTCATGACGATGGGGATGTGGCCTAACGTTGCGCTAAGTTTTTGGATTTCGTCCAAGAGCTCGATGCCAGTCATGACCGGCAACATAACGTCGCAGAGCACCAAATCGAACTTAGCGTGGTTCGCCACGAGCACGTCCAGCGCTTGCTGCCCGTTTTCCACGGCAAAGACCGTATAGCGACAGGACTTGAGGATGTCAATGGTCGCCATGCGCGTGAACTCGTCGTCCTCGACGACGAGGACCGTTACTTCCGACGGGTCCATGTTCTCGGGGGGTGTCGCTGCCAAGAGACCTCGTTCCGTGAGGGAGAGAGAGAGGAGGACAGAGATGGCGGAGGAGGAGGGGGAGGAGGAGGAGACGAGTCGCGTGGGCCTTTCTGTGCGATGGGATATGTTGCGGATTGAGGGCCGGCGGGTCGGCGAAATTGATGATGGACAGGGAGTGGGGGGGCAAAGCAATCGGGTTTCACAGTACGTTTGTGATACATCATACACGAGGGAAGGGGTCGGCTGTCGCTTTTCGACCAATCACTGGGTCTTCGGTCTGCGAGAGTTGCGGCGCAGACAGCGCTCTATCTTGGGCTTTAGCCAATCGAACACGAAGAGCCGTTTACGACAGGTTGTCTATTTTTAGCCACGAAGTGATGGAAAGGTACGACAACGCGAAAGTTATTTATTCCTGATGCTGTAACTTACCTGATGCAAAAGCGCAAAACACGAGTGTCCTTCTCGCAACCAATTGCTCGGCCGTGGCTTATGTGCTCAGTGGCAATGATTTCTCCGGCCCGTACAAAGTTTTGAACCATTATGCGCGCACATGTTGCTAACAATTGACGCGACGTCCGTGGTAGGCCATAACGATCCACATCTTCGCCCTCGTTGTACCATCACGCTGCAGTCTCTTCACTGCGCACCCGGATACTGTCCGGATTATCATCAAAGCATTGCTTTGCAGCCATAATTTAGCGACAACTTCGTACCTCGCATCATTGTCATCCCATGCATGGAAGTTATTAGCAATGGGCGCGTTCAGCACCACGATGACAGATACAGTGATCTTGGGTGCAAAACCTAACAACGTCTTAGCCAGTCGTGTGCGCGTCTAGCGCTGTTAGGCAAAAGCATTGTCCTCATCAACAACCAGAAAGAAGAACTCACTCGCAACTTCAACCAGAACGTCGCTGTTGAAGCTGTAAGCAGATCTGATCAGCATATCTTTTGTTGATCGCGTGGAAGTTGTATCGATGGACAGCACTTCGTTGGTCGCGTGTTGGAACAGTGCAGACTCAGCTTGGAAAAAGATCGCTGGAGCCAAAACGGAGATCGAGAACTTTGTGCATCACTCGCACGTACGGCATAGGCGCGTGATAAACAGCACGAGATATACGGGAATAACTGTACCAGGGACTCGTCCAACGAGCAACAGTTCGCATGGTACGGCAACGATCTTGCAGGTATTGCAAAATGGCACGGCTGCTGCGCTATACAATGTATGTCATTGGTCCAGTTTCCATCACGACGAGCACGTTGTCTTGTACCCGTTCGTGCGCTGCATATGGCTCGTCATGCGGGGGCGTCAGTAGAGAAACCTGGACGCCTTTGATAAAAATATACACGACACGGTGACACAGGATGTGAACCTTGTGCCGTGTCTTGCAACGAATACAGTGCTCTTTGCACGAATGGAAACAGGCGAGTAAGACTGCAGCGCAGTTTCGATGTCAAACATGGACACGAGCCGTGAGAGAGCTAGTGGGTTGGTGAACACTTGCTTCCGCCCGGACGCATTTACGTGCGTGTTTATGCAGTCCATCTCATACCCGTGCTCGTATAGCTATCACGCGAGGGCGAGAGTTCCTCCTCCTCGATCGACGCTTATTCGTGTAGTGTAGTGTAGTGTAGTGGACCCACGATAAACACTCTCCTGTCCCGGTTGATCGAAGAATATACAGCATCAGATAAACGCCCTGATGTTGCAGCCGTGTCGCAGTCGCAAAGGCACGATCGGTTTGCGAATCATGTAGCTAAAGCTGGCCACAACAGTGTATACATGAGTAGTCGTGGTGCTATAGGCATGGCTACGTTAATGACGGTGAGTGATTGACGACTGCATCATCCACCACGGATAGAACGCTGTAAGTGGCAAAGGCGATGTGTTATCTCACGAAGACACATGATTTGCACAACTACGTAGATGCGAAACGACAGAGTTAGACAAGTGCTGGCTTTGTCGTCGGCATGCAGTACATCAGACAGCTCGGGCGAGTCCTTTTCCAGATGCTGTCAGCTTGTTGTTGCTGACACGCCCTGCCTGACCTGAGGTACGGGTTTCACAACGACTTCGCTCCACATGTGCGTCTACGCAACAACATCCATTTCGCAGAAGACATCAGTTAGGCAGTAACTGCGGTCTTTACAGGTCCATCTGATGGTCATAAGAAAGAACATGCAGGTAGAGTCCGAGCTAAATCGGGCTTCGCCGGACAAAAAGCATTGCTATCTCCACACCGCGCTGCATCTGATACTACTACCTCTCCATCGTGTGATAAGAATGGATTTGCTGTGCGTTGCAAACACTGATACGACTGCACCACTCTGTTTGTCCAAGCAGTCATGTCTCGTTCGCATGGCGCCTGCACGTGCACAGTAGCCGAACAGTCTGCTTACCGGGTGCATGCTTGGCCAAATCCTGTCTGCTCTACCTTCTGTCTCGCTCACACATGTACCACATCACCAGCCCTCGTCATCATACACGGCCAACCTATCGATGAGAGAAACTTCCGCTTTCCCACTTCAGTATGGCACTTCCGTGCTTGCAAAACTGCTACATGTCGATAATTGAGAGTCGATCAGAAGATAGAGAACGGAGACGCAGCGAGACAGGAATTAACAGAGAGATGGATACAAAACGGTTGTACATGTTGAGCTTTGCACCTTACGTGACGCAGGGTACCAGAGCAAATCACGCCCGGGTGAAACGCGTGTCAAGTAACCGACCGGGTCGGACGTCAAGGTCCAGATTGGACATCATGATAGTATGTAGAGCGCAAAAGGAATACGGCGTGAGGCCTATCGACGGAGCAATGGAGAAGGGAGGCGGAGGAGCACACTGCAAGTTTGCATGGAAGGAGAGAGAATTTATTGTGTCTCTGTCCTTGTAGTGCTTTGCAATGGTCATGACACATACTCTACATCGTAACAACGCTATATCGCTTTGCTCTATGTATGTGCAAGGGACATGCCATATTCTCGCTAGTAGTGCGTAACTACTCGCGTAAACAATTGGTTACGATCCGTCAGGACATGGCGAAGAGGTGAGCAAGTGGAACAAGAACAGCCAGTCGGTTCACGATGAAATGTCACACGCGAAGCTTTTGCTGTCGAAAGACTTGACACTGGTGAACATTTATCTGAGAAAGTTTAGGATACAGCTAATGAGGTCCATTGATTTGGGCTAGACCGGAGCCAAACATTGCTTGATTGCGTTGACTCTGTATGATGATGACCGGGACCACACTGCTGTGGTCAGAGATGATATCGATACTCGAATGACTAAGCCACCAGGTTCTTGTTCAAGTAAAGAAAAGAAGTGAAGGACATCGACGATCCACTCCGTCGCATCATCGATCATCGATGCGGGATATTGTACCACATAAAGGGTGATGTGCATACATCGAGCTAACAACAGACACTCCAAACCTTTGCGCGGGTCTTCAATTCGTTTTTGCATTGCAAAGCCGATTCTGACGCTGACAAAATTGCATTTCGCGGGACGAACTACGTTTGCACGATCGGATGAATGTCCAGAGTGGAAAGATACCATCAGACACGAGGTGGGTGGAGGTGCGTAATGCTGCAGCTTGCGCGTATACCTGCGGTGCCATACTTGGGTCCACACGGTAGCCAGCTAGATCCGGCCATCCAGTCTTGTCTCCCGCTCGTGTTACCGATGGCTCCATGCAGTAGACACCTCGACGTGCCGGCTTCCACACGACTGGACTTGTACATCGACGTGGATTGTCGTGTACCTGTTGTAGCACTCGTTGGAAGTCAACGGCCACCGTCGACCGATGGGTCGAGTCATGATCGTCGTCCTCGAGCAGATCTGCGTGGGACCACGTGAGGAACCGATCAAAATCCAGTAGGGTCCTTCCCGCATGCTCATCAGTGTCGGGTACGAGGCCATGCGGACGCTGATACCTGCTTGGTGTCGATATCGTACGCGTAAGAGACAGCGTAGTGCACAGACTTTGACGACAACAAGTTTCTGACAGATTAAGATACATGGCTGTACTTGACACTTCCCTGACTAAATGTTTGTGGATCGTGAAGAAGAGGAGCCGCCACTGGCCAAGCGAAGCAGAGGTGAAACGTATCTTGGTCTTGCGCGCGCGGGAAGCTTGAGTCCGACGACCATCAACGTCGCTCTGTTTTAACATGTAAGTTTGGAAGCCTTCCTCGCTCCGTCGTCTTCGGACTCCATCTCTCTCTCTCTCTCTCTCTCTCTCTCTCTCTCTCTCTCTCTCCTCTGCGTCCCTGCATTCAAATCGCATTCGTTCCCAGACGCGTTCAATTTAGTGGGTGTCATTTCTGTCGTATCTTGGATCTGATCCGGATAGGCAGTCGGTAGGATCAAGTGGGCCAATTGCTTGCAGATTGTCGAGGCACGCGCAGCTCGGCTGCATGCACCCTGCATGGCAATGATCGACAATTGCAATCTATCTCACTTGCGTCATCGCAGCGCACACAAAATGAGGGGTGCCGTCGTCCAAGCCGATGCGTACGAAAACTCGTGTGCTGCAGCAGTTGCAACGCCAAGACGTCAACAGACGCCGACGAAACGACTTGTGCGCAGATCAGTCGATTCCCTGCGCATCAGGTGTGGCAACTGCCGGGCAAGTCAACCTGCACGTTCCTGCGTCTTGAATCCAGAGCTGCAGCTGGTAGAGTCTAGTCCGATGCTTGCCGTTGCTCACCGACGTGGTACCATCACCAGAGTTCAGTGGGCTGCACGCCGGACGAGACGAGGCGCCCCGAGGCACTTGGTCGGAATCCTCTCGCTACTTCAATCGATTACACACGCACGCGAGCGTGAACACGAGACGCTAACGGAGGACTAAGTGTGGAACATTGAAAGGGCTGCGGTCGAAAAGCCGCAGGGCAAATGACGTTCCTACAAGTGTCTCGTACGACCAAAGACCACTGTTTGAATCATTTTCCACAAGATACCTTCAAGGTCCTATTGTCCCTCCTCACCCTTCGCGAGATGATCCATCAAGTCATTTGTGCAGTCGTCTCCGGCCGATGGCGTGCTCTTTGGCCACAGCTGCGGCTCGTCGTGGCGAATTTCGTACGCCCATTCGCGAGGCAGCTGCAGATGGTGTAGACCCCTTCGTGCCGAACAGCACGTAACAGCGCCTGCGTGATTCGCTCGTTTGCAGCGTCCCCGTTCCTGTGGGCAGCAGTGGCAAACGGTGGTGGTGTCAAGTACGTCCATTATTATGATAACTAACGACTGATAAGTGTGACAAGAAGTACGGCCCGGGTATCGGGTCGACAACTAAAGGGCTCCGTAGAGCCAGGGGCGACGGCAACGAGGTCAGAGACCCTCCTACCGAAGCCAACTACGAGTCAATCATGACCGCTGGCGCGACCAAGTAGACTGGGGACATGCGTACCGCCGGAGCGGCAGCACGGACAACGCGGGTATGCTGCCATATAAGGCAACAAACCCCTTTAGGACCGCTTGCGCGGCCCCCGACGTGGAGTGCGATCACCGAAGTGACTGCGTGGCGTGGAGAACGCCAACCCGCCATATATCTCTCCGAGGAGCTCAGCCATCTGCGATGGTGGCCCCCTTCAGCCGCTTGCGCGGCCCCTTGACGTGGAGTGTGCGCTCGCCGCAGCGGCGACACGTGGCGCGGGGTACGCCTCCAGTCCGTAAAACACCCCTGCTAGGGCCGCTTGCGCGACCCGTCGGTCTCCTACGCCCACACCCGCGACTGCGAGTGCAGCGTGCCCGCGTCAGATCTTCGACCACGTCGGCTCCCCAAGGGGAGGATTCCCTCCGACGTGACTGCCCCGAAGGGAAAAAGACTGGCTTGAGCTGAACCGTGAAAATTTGGGAATGCAGCAGTGGCAAACGGACGCGTGAGGTGCCGCAAGGCACGACCCGTGCAGCCGTAGCAACTTTGTCGAGAAGCTCCGCCAGATGCGATGCAGCGCGGGCGTCGAGTCAGCGCGGGCGCGGGTGGGGGTAAGTACCACCGTAGCTGCAACCAGCTGTGTGATCGATAAAGGCGATCCGGGAGATGGGCGAGGGCTTTGCCCCGCGCTTTTCGACTGCGGCTGCTGACGAACGACCGCTTTGTTGATTGGACCGGAGTTTCGTCCACGCGGCAGTCACGCAAGATCCAGAGCTGTGACGACAGCAGAGGCGAATGGCAAAGAAGGACAGCCAGTGGCGGTAGGTAGTGAGTGTGATCCATTCATTGCACTGACAACGACAGTGCTGATGGTGCTGATGAGGCTGATGAGGCTCGTGCGTGATAGGCGACAGGCAGACAGCTCCTACAAACATAGTGGCTGAAGGACGCAGCCCCCACCCAGACGGTGGTACCAAAAACGGGGGCCCGTGCCGCCGTGCCGATCTTGGCAGCAGCAACGAGCCTGCGACGGCTGCATCTGCATGTGTGCACGGACGTCGACGATGGTGACGTCGAAGCATGCGATCTGATTATTCAGCCTCCTTCCAGAGAGACCTTGAAGTGAAACTCGTGCGGCAGGACGCCTCTACTTGTACTTGGCCAACGACGACCTGTGCACAAATACACGCGACGCGTGAGCCCTCGTGTACCACCGTCCGCAGCCGTGGCCGACCGTGTCACGAGAGCTTTGACTCAGAGCACCACGTCACCGAACTCTCTCTATCTATCTATCTATCCATCGACCTATCTCTCTATCGGTCTATGTATCTCAGCGGGCAACGCGCACTCACTGATCCTGTCGTAGGAAAGTCCACCGTTCAACGGCTGCTCTCGGAGGCGCACGCACACCCAGTAACAGGATCCAGTGGCGCGGCGCGTGCCGCGGCTTCGGTCAGGTAAACTAACGTTCCATTGGATCCCCATACAGTGCGCAAACCCTCTGATCGTCACGAGCGATGCGGATTCGAAGCATAAACAACGAGCCCCTTATCCTTCTGTGTTTTACGCCGCCGCAGGGGAAAGCGCTGGGCCCAAGTCGCTTTGTTCGGCTTTCACATTCCTTTTTGCGCATTCCTTCATTTATTCGTGACGAGTCGGTCGCGACAGGCGCAGCGGTGGCGGCTCCAGGAGTTGTTTTATCAGGTGCGCGCGTGGATTGGTCCATTTGGAGCTGCTCCGCATCGTCTTTGCGCAGGACGCCTCCAGCCGATATGCGAATTGGCCAATCCGCGCTCGCGAAGCTTAAACCAACGGGTCGACCGCGTGTGCCGAAGACGGACGGCCGTTACACGTTGCTCCCCTAGCCGCGTGTCAGCTCCCAGCTTTCCGCCGAATAGAGAGGGCGCGTGCAATGCTATTTCATCGCGGCAACTTTGTCTTTTCGCACTGCATTCCTCTACTTGGGCGCGCGCAACTTTTGCGTGGTGCGATTACGGTAAAGGCCGAGCGCGCCCTATGGGGACGGACTGTATCGCTCGTGGCCACGACGACAACGGCCCGCAAAGGCGCACGAAAACGTAACCTCTTTTTCGCAACGACTGTAACTCAAAGCGAACAAGTGTTCAACGACTCGATATACCGTTTAGGGCAGCGCCCGTGATGATGCGGCGCAGCTACTGCTTTCGCAGATGGGACGCCCAGGAGCGCTTGCAGTTGGGCTTAGGTACACATCTCGGCCGATTGCGCATGGCGGACGACGACATACTACTGGGCGGCGGCTTTGTGAACGTCAACTGCCGACTGTTCGACAACTCGGGTTTTCAGCCTACCGTGGCTCAAGGCGCCACGGGTCTGTCGGTCGGTCGGTCGATCGATCGGTCGGTCTATTTATTTGCCTGTTTAGTGCAAGAGATCCTGCAAGTGAGCGAGTGAGTGCGCCTCCTCCTGCCCGACGCCCACTGTCTGCCGTTCTTATCGGTCCTTTCGAGCTGTCTGCCGTCGCACAATCATTTCATGACACGACTTGTCGCCCGCGTCCCCCACCGCTGCTCGGCCGCCTCTCTCGTCCGCGCAGCTACTCGTTTAGCTGTCTTTCATGTCCACTTGGACTCTCATTGTTGAATTTGCCCCACACAGCGCAACCGGCAAAGTCCATTCGTCTGCCACTGCCACTGCCACTGCCACTGCCCCTCCCAACGGTTCTCTCTTTCTCCCTCGGAGAACAATTACCGCCTCAACTTCCGTTACACCGCCGCCGCCGCCGCCTATTGCTGTCGCTGCCGCGCGCCCCCCGTCCTCGAAATCCCACCACCACCACACGCGCGAACATTCACTTTCGCTTTTCCCGTGGCGCCCTCAGCCTCTGTGTCTCCTCCTCCCCACCTGAACGGCTCCCTCCTCCTCCTCCTCCTCCGGCCCCATGAGCGCTACGGTCGTCCAGTACCCCGTCGCACCGCGCGCCCCCTGCACGCGACTCGCCGACTCGGTCGCGGCCGCAAAGAAACGCAGCGGCGCCCACGTGCGCGCGCCGTCGGAGCGCCTCGCGCTCGTGCTCGACATGGACGAGTGCCTCGTGCACAGTCAGTTCCAGAACGACGTGGCGCAGTACCGCCAGAGCGAGCGCCGGCCCGCGCACGTTGCGCCCTACAGCGACTCGTTTGAGATCGTGTTGGACGACGGCGAGCGCGCGCGGGTCAACAAGCGGCCGGGGCTCGACCGGTTCCTCGAAGAGGCCGCGAAGCACTACGACGTGTACGTGTTTACGGCGGGCCTCGAGGCGTACGGGAAGCCCATCCTCGACGCGCTAGACCCCAAGGGCACGCTCTTTGCCGGCCGCTTCTTCCGCGCGTCGTGCCGCCCGCACAAGGGCATGTTCCTCAAGGACCTGCGCGTCGTCCACGGCCGCGACCTCTCGCGCGTCGTGCTCGTGGACAACAACCCCGTGTCGTTCCTCTTGCAGCCGAGCAACGGCATTCCCGTGCCGAGTTTCTACGACGACGAGGCCGACCGCACGCTCGAGTCGCTGAGCAAAGTGCTCACGAGTCTGCAGGACGTGGACGACGTGCGCCCGCGGCTGCACCAGCTGTTTCGGCTGGCGGATCTGCTGGCGGACCACCAGCGAGTGATTCTCGGGCAACAATAGGGCCGCGCGAGTGACGGATTGATTGCTTGCGTGGGTGGGTGTGGACGACGAGGGACCGCAAACGCGTCCGTTGGCAGAGGCGGCGGGACGAGTCTGTCTGCGCCGTCGTCCGTGGAAGTAGCACGTGTATACGCACGCGTGGCCACATGTGTGTATACACACGCGTATACGTCAAGCTGCCGTGTCGTAGTGGTGAGAGTAGTACTAGTCGTCGTCGTCGTTGAAGTAGTAGTGAGTAGTAGTCGTGTGTGGAAAGAGTACGAGAGGATGAACATTAGACAGTGAACAAAATGTATTTAAGGCACTGAATGAAGAAAGCGACAATTTAACGAACGGCGTGCGGTGAGTGCAGAGTGCGGCAGTCGGCAGACAATGTGCGTCGCTGAACACGCTCGTGCCGGCAAGGGCTGTCTCCGTCCACAGCTTTGGAAGGCACGCGCATCTCGGTACGCGGGGGGGATGATGGGTGGGTGTGCCTGCGGCAATATCCTGCACTTTGTATCGGTCGTTGTGGCCAGTCGCGCCCCAGAGCAGTGCGTCAGCAGAGGAGTGAGAGAGTGAGTGACACGCATCATCATCACCGATCGGCTGGCCAACCCCCATCCCCTATGGCCGCGCTCTGTCCCGAGCGTCTGTTTATGCCACATCATGTCGTCACTCGCTGCACCCGCCCGCGCTACGTACGGTTTTCAACGGCCTTTCGGCGAATCCCGGCACGCGACACGAGCGACCGGCCACTATTAAAAGCACTACGTAACCCACATCGGTCAGCGACCGGCCACTATTAAAAGCACTACGTAACCCACATCGGTCAGCGACCGTCGGCTGTCCGTGTACCCCCGCCCTCTGTCTGCCACTGCCGCCGCTGCGGTCGTCTCTCCGCTTAAGTACGAGCTCAAGCCGCGACCCCTTCATTCGCCAAGCGCCATGTCCGCTCGAACGTTCCGACGCGGCCACGCAGCAATGTATGGCGCGCTGTCGAGCGCGCCCATTGCAGAGATCCGGACGCGCAAATGGACCAAAGAGCCAAAGACAGTCGGCCACTTGTTGATCCCGAAATGGGTTCCCGGTACGATCGCTAGAGAGAGAGAGAGAGAGAGAGTGTGTGTGTGTGTGAACTAATGTGCCGTCTCTATGTGTGACTGTTTCGACTCGTTCATGTGCATTAGATCGGGAGGTTTGACCTGTTGTGTCGATGGCACTGTTTTGCAGTGCAGTGATACAGTGTAGCGGTCGACTTGTGCCTCTAAACGTGACGTTGTGTATTATTGTGTGTCTATCTGTCCGTCTATGTCTGTCTGTCTGTCTGTCTGTCTGTCTGTCTGTCTGTGTGGGTTTGCGTGTGTAGAATCCAACTGAGGCGCTGCAAAAGGGAGCGAGTAAGAAGTCAAAAGGTGGGCGAGAGACAAAGCGTTACTCGATTGGCCCACAGTGTGAGTTTCTCGTGGGCGTCTGTGTATTTACGCTGCTTTTGTGTATACGTACAGGACGGAAGCGTGGAGCTGGGGAAGGGGGACGCATGACGCGCAGCGTGCGTCAGCATCTGGACGCGCCATTGGAGCTGCTGTCGGAGTACCCCGTGCGAGTCGTACGTACACACTGTCGGTCAGTGTTGAAGAGAGCGGAGATGGCTGACCGTTTGCAATTTGTATCGTGTAGCACCCGCCGCGAACTTCGCCGTCACCTGCTGAAGCGACGCCGACGGAGCCACTTGACAGATCACCAGCAGAGGCGCTCGAACAAGGTCCGTCTTCGGATGTGCTGCCAACCGATGGCGGGTCGTACGTTGCATTGCAGTCCGCAGCTGCTTGTACTGTCTCGACTGTGGAACAAGGACCCGGCGAACTGAAACGCACGGAGACTGCGCTTATTGCCGATCAAACAGTGCAAGCAACTCGACCAGCTGGTGACGACAACGTGGCAAAAGCATCAACTGCTGCCGCAGCAACAACTACCGCAGCAACAACTACCACAGCAACAACTACCACAGCAACAGCTACCGCAGCAACGGCTGTGTCATCGAACCCGACGATTCAGGCGATGCCAATGATGCCCCCGGTGTCGAACCAACTGATGACGGACGTGCCGTCGGACGAACAACTGGAGATGGTGCTGGACGACCTGCCCATGCTGGATGCAGACGACGCCTTCGATTTGGACGCTTTGGATCCTGCTTTCCTGCCGGCTCCTGCACCCTCAGTAGCTTCAGCAACGAGTGGCCCGCAGTCGAGTGGTATCAACGCAAAGCAGCAGTCGGTCGAGGACTCATCCGCCTCGGCCAGTGAGGACGACGCGTCAGCGAACTCGGGCTCGTCCATGCCGTCAGTATCGCCACAGTCATCACCACGAGTGATGTCTCGATCGTCGTCGCCATAAAGCGGGAGGATAAATATCGAGAAAGTCGGTCCGACAAGTCGGACCCACTGCGAGAGCACAAGAGCGTTTCGTGGCTTTGGATTTCGGGACGAAGCCCATCGCGATCCGAGTATCGTATCCGCTCGACTCGTGCACAATCGTGTGCGCACACGCCTGCAATCAGGTCGTCTGATTGACAAGGAGCTCTATATTTACACAGTAACGAGGTAACAAGGTGAGTGAACGCGCTACAAGTGTGCTCGATCGATTCGCAGCCATACAGATCCTCGCATTGTTTGCAACCCGTTGTCCATACTATCGATAGGTCGTTGCTGGTTTGTGATGGTGACGCACATCTGCTCAGCTTTTTCCGCCTCTTTGGACGCAAAGGCCCCGCACGATCCACCAAAACGGATGGTGCTCGTGTCCGATGCCAAGTGCCTCACCAGTGGCCTGCGTGCGATTCCCTCCACAAATACGTAACTTGACATCGTGCTTGCTCAGGTCCAGCCTCTATCAGTCTATTCCACCCATGACACTACATACCCTGTGGTATTCGCTCCCCACCACCGCATCACCATCCGTTCTACATACCGCACGCACGCGCGCGATTTGACGTGGCCAGTCGTTGGCTCGTCGAGTCCGACATGAGCATGGGCAACTTCAAGTTGCGGTCGCAGGACCGCGTCATGACAGCAAACGCGTCTCGGCCGCCTCTGCTGAGCCCACTGCAAACAGGTCAGAAGGACGTTGCACCCATTTACAAGTTCGTGCTCACCGGCGGTCCCTGTGCCGGCAAAACCACATCCCTCGACCGCCTCTCGACGTTCTTTCGCGATCGCGGCTTCCGCGTCTATGTCGTCCCAGAAGCCTCAACGCTCTTGCAGACCGGCGGCGCCTTCTTTTTGTACGTGCGACACGAACAAAAGAAGAAAACGAGCCATGTCGTGATACGTGAGCGGTAGCTGATCGGTTGACCTCAAGATGATGGACTGATGGACTGATGGGCTGAGTGTCTCGTCTCAGGGATCTGAAACAGACGGATATCGTGAATTTTCAGTGGCAGATTCTGAGTCTGCAGATGGCGCTCGAAGATTCGTTCACTTCGCTCGCGAAAGACAGTGGCCGACCCTGTGTGATCCTCTGTGATCGAGGCGTAATGGACGGCTCGGCTTACATGACACTGGACCAGTGGGAAGAGCTCAAGCTCGCGCACGAGCTGGACACAGTCACACTGCGAGACACGTGCGTGTTAATCTGCACCTTGCACTGGAAAAATTACGATGACGGTGATGATCATCATCATCACTCTATACGTGTCATTTGTTAGTGTGACGTTGGGTTGCGCTTGCTGAGCTGGTGGTTGTCTTTTGTGTAGCCGCTACATTGCTATTTTCCACTTGGTGACCGCTGCTGACGGTGCGGAGAAGTTTTACTCGTTGGAGAACAATGGCGTTCGGATTGAGTCCATGGAGCAGGCGAAAGCTGTCGACGCGCGTACCTGCCGAGCCTGGATCGGCCACCCAAAGCTCTACGTGTTTGGTAGAGAGCTGCGTGTGTGTGATTGCAATAGCTCTTTTCGTGTGTGTGTGTGTCTCACGCGTTGCTGTGGTACTCCCACAGACAACTCAACGACGTTTGAGGGCAAGATGCAGCGTCTTGTGAACACAGCAGCGGGACTCTGTGGCATCCCCACGACCGCCAGGGCATCCCGAAAGTACTTGCTTGCGAGTGCACCCACTGACATTTCGTTCCACCATGAAGATTTTGAGGTGGAGAAGGTGTATCTGAAGCCTGAAGCCACTGGTACGTTCACATTGGAAAGTGTATCATTGTTCAATGGCGTCATGACAGTTCATGCATTGATCGTGTGCCAGAAACAAGCAAGGACTATTCGTTCGTCCGATGTCGTTCTCAGTACGGCATCCCAGCCTACGGCATGACCACCGTTCGGTACCTCGATACTGGCGATGCGTGAGTTGGTCACTTGTTTGGGTAATGCCCTCAGCTTAGCTCGACTAGTCTCTCTGACACTGAGTTGTTTACTCATGTTGCAACTAGAGTGCATTTGAAGCGCATTCTCAGTGCGCGCGAGTATTCGTACGCGGTACGACACCGTCGTGACCCAACGCGTCATGTGATCAAGCAGCAGCGAATGTGCTTTCTACATAAGAACCAATCGTTCCAGATTCACGTGTACAAGGAGCCAGCAGAAGTCGCAGGACTTGCGTTGCTGCATGTGCAGGCATCCTGTGAAAACGGCCGAGACGTCGTCATGCCATCTTTCTTGAACATCGAGAAGGAGATGCCGAGCTCGGATGAGACCGTGTCGGCCTACAATGTGTCGAGAAAAGACCTCGTGGATACGATCAAGCGGACGGCGTACAGGCCCGTAGCACCTTCGCAATAACTGGAATCTGCTTTTGTGGCCTACGCAGCAGTAAACAAAGGCAGCGAGTAAGGCACTTTTCTCACCTATTGATGAAGGCGCTTCTGCATTGAAATGTAGCTGGGCTTTGGTTATTGGCTTTAGGGTACTGCGTAAGGTTTTGCGTGCAATGGGAGTTAGCATCTGACAGACAGAAAGAATACCGAGAACGCTGCTTCGATGGACGGCAACACAAAATACGATCGCTTGAGCGTTCCAGCGGTCTGGATAACGGCAGAACAAGCTGACGTGCATGATATCGGAAGTTACGCCTTTAAATGATACGACGCGGGAGCGAGCAGCATTCATAGCACGCTCCGATCTTCTCTAGTAGCGAAATGGAGGAGGACAAGACTGACTGGTACTAGCAAAGAAGCAAAGTTCAACTTCCTGTCGCATCGCTTGGCCATTGTCACTAACTCGATCACCATTGACCAGTGAAATCGTGCGTATTGCAGCACTGTTTGGAAACGGCGCGCACGACCTTTACCAGCACAGAGTGCCTCAGAAAAAAATGGGTTTAGTTCCTTCTGCTGCCTCATGTGTCAATGCGTTGATTGATGGGTAGTGAAAGGCAAGGAGAAGGACGTAGTGCCGTGTCTAGATCGACGTAGCAACTAGATATATCTGTTGATCATGAATACCAGTTTTAGCGTCACTCAAGCTTTGCAAAGCAATCGTCCACCCCAACAAATATTGGCTGCAAAGTCGAGCTTTGCTGCATACTTTCGCAATCATTGACGGGCTTTCGTTACAAAAGCCCAGCAAACATACGCGCGACCTGGTGTTTGTATTTCTGCATAATAGCATGTTTTCTACGTAAATATTCGGATAGCTACACATGTCTAGTATCGTAAAGGAGTTCGGCTTATTTTGTTTAACTTCTACGTGCATTAGAAGCGGTGTTTGTAAAGAATGGAAAATATAAACACCATTAGCTAGTCACGTGTATTTAATTTGCATACACCCCACAATAGACGAATTAAATGAAAACCAGATGTCCGTGTCAACAAAACAATTTACCGCAAAGAAGGAAAGTGATGCATAAGAAATGAGAAGACCAAAAAGGCATAAATGATGCATATTTTACGATCGAGTATACGCATGTCTGAATCCGCCCGCTCATTCACATTCGTAGACGTCTTTTACAATCACTCTTTGTTTTCTTCGATTACACACGTTTGGTGTGCACGTGTCGACAGCCATTATAAAGATTGAAATGGTGCGTTGGCGCGTCAATTGTGCCCGAAAGTGTTGCACATTGAATATTTAAAAGGCGATGTTGATTCAATTTTCATCCATATCGTAACTTCAAGACTGTGATTGTGTAAGCTGTCGCCTAAGCGGTATAGCTTATTTCGGAAAGGATGCGACAGCGCAGTGTCAATATGTTGAAGCATAAGACACCGGTACTTTATTCGACCATGTCCTCATCATAGGCGTCACAGTTTATTCGAAGTATAATGAAGCTTGCATTTTATACGTTATGTGTCCTAAGCTATTTTCGTGGGAGTCGACACCTTTGATTGAGAAAACCACATATTCAACCATGGATAAAGAACCGATTAGACACCACAAAATTGCCTGAAATAGTCTTCGTACGTATTTTTGCGAAATTCTAAATAAAGCAAAAAATAGATATTTCATTAAGATCAATTTAATTTTAGTCGTATATTATACATCAGGTGCACACTCTCATGATTGCATACGAACTTGTGAAGTATCTTATGCACGTCTTCTTTGTTTGTAAGCTATATAAATGCTCAGTTTTGACGCGTGAGTGTTCACTTGATGCATTTTTGCCCTTTATGGCAAAACATTTTTTCGATCTCTATAATTTGCCACTTAAATACAATACCCGAAATATGAGATTAAGTTTATGTTATACTTTCATGTAATTTCATTTATTGTAGGTCAGCTATTCGCAAAAAAAGCTAGATTATATTTTTATATTGTGTGGAGTGAGAGGGGAGCATGATGGCATCTGTACTAGTATATAAACAGAGAAACGCACAAGAATATTTTTGCCCAAAGCCAAATCGTAGCATCTTGTTGTTCAACCATGATCAATAATTAATTCCACTATTCTTTGCATCTGCATGTAAGCGCTCAAAACATACGCTTTTTATAAGAATTAGTAAATAAAATGTCGAGTTACCATGCACAAAAGTGAGCTCGAATGTACTGATCCCCGGCATTTTATGTACAGTAACCCAGAATACGAGAACGTAAGGACGTAGCCCCGTGTGATCTTGTACCCATGATCTCTGCGAATTGTAGTCAGTAGGCTTGTTCGCTTATTCTTGTTGCTGGTTTGTAGTACACAGCACTGAGCCATGGGCGACTTACGAAAAGGTTAAGGCGACAAGCTTACTAAAACTGGAGGGCAGTGTCGTTGGCCTCTTTTACTCGTTGTCAGGCGGGTCATTGAGGGAACGAGTGGGGGTATACGATGTGGTGGGGTATTTGGTGCGGCAAATGACTTTTTGAAATTTGTAGTTGATTGCTCTGCAGATTCTGTGAGCTCGTGGAAAGTTTTTTCGCGGTCGTCACAGAATGCGCATCACGCTGTGGCAACTGATAGAGCCATATAGCTGCTGTTGCATCTGCACTACGAAAGAGTGTGCCGTATCGGAGTAGCCGTGGACGCATTGTAGGTAAGGATATCATATCCTGAACAACACAATGATACAGAGAACGGCGTCTGTTGCGTTTGCATTGATCTGAGCTTTACACGTGCTCTTGTCCTGTTCATGCATCTCTGCAATCGGGAACTTTGTGGCTGAATGCCTACACCCGAGTGATTCCAAGCATCCAGGCATCGTGTCGTTAGGGGCAAATGACGCATAGAAAGGTTCGGAAACTTACTTGACTGCAAACAGCGTCGGTTCAACGATGGAGCGCAAGGTAATTTGCGTCGTGTCTTCTTCCATAAGAACTCTTGTACCAGCAGCTTTACAGCAAAGGTGCACACCATTGCTTTGCTGATAGTATGTGTATGTAAACTGCTAGTAGAGTATAACTCACATCGAGTAGCCAACGCGGGTCTCCCAAATGAACTGCCCCGATCCATCTACACAATACTACACACTGAAAGTGACAAAGCATCTGTTGATCGAATTGGTCCGTATGTATCGACTACTTGATATGCGGGTTTGCCCCTCCTGTGGAATGCTATCCTCGTTTACCCTCTCAGATCCCACATGACACACAAGGGTGAACAAAGTGGTGTTTGATCATCATCATCATCATCATGTTGGCGCTTAGTTTCGGTAATAGCTTTTGTTAAAGCGAGCGACATATTGGGCGCAAACGGAGCTGCAGATGCAGGAACTGCGCTGATGCGATTAACTTCAAAGGGCTCGAGAATCTCGACAGGTATCGACTTGCTACTTGATCACCAATTGCATCATCTCGTCAAGTTACAGATTGCACAGAACTTTATGTGCGTTGTCGCTCGAAAAGCAGCAGAGACCCATACAGATGCGATCTCATTGATCTCTTCGATCGAGACTTGTTGACAGATGGAACACGGGACTACAGGTAAACACATCGCATGGCTTTTGCATGTCAACTGCAAGCGTTTAATATCCTATAGGTTTCTGTTGGTGTAAGAACGTCCGTCCGAGTACGTGATCAGTGCAAGCGCAGCATCGGAGCAGGAAACCGATGCAGGTCAAACGACGTTCGCGCGCCCATACATCGATCCTTACGGCCAACACGTCTACAACTGTGCACTCGTTCGCGACACCGACATGTGTGCTGCTACGTGACCCGTGTCTGCATAATAATGTCAAAGAACAATGGGCCGACGAAGAACAAGTCGGCCACCACCACCACCACCACCACCAACAACAACAATGAGAAAGCCAAAGAGCGTCAATTGATCGGCGCTTCTGCTCAAATCGGACCAGCGACTTCGTCCAGTGATCCCTCCACCCTCACAAACCCACTTCCACTCGCCTCACGTCACGGTCGTGTCCATACTGTCTGCACCCATCCCCGATTCTGCTAGGAACGTGTTGACCTCTTCGCTCGTCGGAAGACTCGGCAACGCACCTCGACGCTGCACGCACAGTGCACTGGCTGCCGTCGCCCGTACCATACAGTTCTTCACCGCCTGACCTTCGGCAAGCGCAACGGCGAACGCCCCCCGGAAGCAGTCACCTGCACCTGTCGTGTCCACCACAGTGTCCACCTGAAAGCACTTTTGATGCACTGCGTTCGAGCCGTCCGCCGGGACAAACACGGCCCCGTCCGCTCCGAGCGTCACCAGAACGTTCTTCGCGCCCTGTGCTTGCAAGAGCTGTGCCGCTGCCATTGCATCGTCAACGCTGTGGACCTCGCGCTGGGTCAGCCGCGCCAGCTCTGTCTCGTTTGGACACAGATACGTCAAATGGGGCAAGAGATCCGCTCGCAGGGGGACGTCGTCGCCGCCCGCGTCCCACATGACGGGCACCGCCGCTCGAGCTGCTGCCTTCACGACCAGTGCATTGACCGCTTCGGGGATCTCACACTGCAGCAACACGATCGCCGCCGACTCAATCGCAGCAACGACAGCTTCAGGCAGCGCTTCGGGCCATCTGCAGTTAGCACCGCCTATAACGACGATCGAGTTGTCCCCGTTCGGGTAGACAAACACGAGCGCTTGACCAGACGGTCCGTCCACGTGGCCACAGAGCTCCGTGTGGACGTGCGCGTCGCACAGGGCATTTTGCAGCGCGGTGCCGTGTGCGTCGCGACCAAACTGACCGATAAAGCGGACGTCGAGCGTCGGGTGCTGAAGGCCAAGGAGCTTTCCAGCGGCTGCCGCCTGGTTACTGCCTTTGCCCCCGGGCGCGAACGTGCCCGTGTCGGGTCTGGCCGCCGATACGGTCTCGCCCCGACGAGGCAGTCGGCGAACCTCAACGACCACATCGGCATTAACAGAGCCAATGACCAGCACCGCCTGCTTTGCGTCTCTTTGCATTACGAAATGGATGGACGACAGAGTGCGTGGGAAAGGTGGGAACGGCACGATCCGACGCTGTCCCTGCAACTGGACAGCCTTTGGCCTCGTGTCCAGTCGCTTATGGCTCCAGTTCCGCCGACGTTTCGCGTTGCGCTCGTGGCGCAGCTCTTCCATTCTACATGGGCTGCAACCGCAACGGCCACAGCCGCTGCAGCACTGGCCAGTGACGGCAGCGACGAAGACGATGTGTTTGACTCGGCGCCGCTCGTGACAGCGGCAGCAGCGGCCGCGCGCGTGCGCAAGATCCACGCGGACGCGCTGAAGCTCAGTGCGGAGATGCTGCGGCTCTTTGTGGTCGAAGCCGTGCGGCGCGCGCAGATGGAGGCGATGGTGGACGATAGTGAGACCGTCGAGCCGCTGCACGTGGAGCAGATCTTGGCGCAGCTGCTGCTCGACTTTTGACCGGCGCGAGTCAGAGGGGACGACGACCGAAGAGCTCTGTGCGCGCAGATTGCAAAGCTGCGTGAAGACGCTGAGAGAATGGCACTTGCGGAAGAAGAGCAGTGCGTTGTGAGTGAGAGGAGAGACGTTCCTGTGTGTCATCTGAAGCGCTATTTGCACCTTCTTCTTCTTCTCCTTCTCCTTCTTCGGAAGACTCCTCCATTCCTCAGCCGAAGGCGTGCAAGTTGACACTGCCGAGCTGTCAACTTGTTGCACTTGGTTCCGTACAACCTTTTCGATGCATTTTCAAGGGCCCAGCGATCGCATCGAACGGTCAAGTCGACCGGCAGGCAGCAACAAACTAAGCATCCAGCCGCAACATCTCAACAACAACAACAACATCAAAGCATCCGACGGGTGATGGAACAACCTTCACGACCGGTTGTACATTCTCGTAGGAGCAAAAGTTGCAAACCTGCACTTCTATTCCTTACGATTATTTCCATCCGCCCAGAGCAAGTAAACTTTGCAGTCAGTAGTCCACAATCGCCACACGCTTACGCCTTAAGGCGACGGCTGCGGATGGCCTTCTTCTGAAGCACACCTGCACCAATCATACATAAAATCATCCACACACACACAACAAGTGTGAGCAACCCATTCAACTCACAACCTGCTTTTTCGTCCATCAATCCACCAGAGAGTCCCATGTTTGACCCACGTACCCTTCTCCACCTTGGCGACCGTCGACAGACGCGACCATTTGGCCAGCGCTGCTTTTTTGAGATCGCGACGGTAAAAGTTGCGCGAGATGGTGGCGCGGATCGTGTTCGCGCCCCCACGGGCACCTTTGCGAAGCGGCACAACGTTCTCGGCCTTCACCGGCTTCTTGTGCGCCTTGGCAATCTTGGTCGTCAGCGACACTTTCTTGTCGGCAAGCGAGAGGTCCACGGCCTTCGTGGCGGCCAAGCCCGAGTACTTGCGGCAATTGCGGTTCAGCAGGTTGAACTTCTCCCGCGCGAATTCCGAGCCATGACGTTTCAAGAGGAACGACGACGTGTTCTTGGTCAGCAACCACGTGAGCGTATCGCACGACATCTGCAGCAAGAGCACGACATGGCACAAAAACACATGTTACCAATGCACCGTCAGCTACTACGGACCCGTCTACCGTCGCGCGTACAGTAGAACTGGGATTATCATTCAAGAGAGAGAGAGAGAGAGAGAAGAAGCACCGCACCTTTTCCGCTTCTTCGATGGAAATAATGGGATGGCTGGAGCCAGTTGAGAGAGAGCCGCTCGACCACTCGATTGCTCGAGTGGTACAAAACGGGACGCGGTCCTCGGCGTAATTACGCGTGCAACAATTGCCAGCCACTCAACCGCGAAGCTGTTTTTACACCTCCTTTAATGTGGCTACAGCTGTCATGAACCTACGATCAATCATACCAACACGGCATGCTTGTGCGTAGGGTGCTGCAAACCGGTACGCTGCAACGATGCACGCAGGGCGCTGGCGTCGGTACGTGCCCCGACTTGCGCGTCGCTTGACGGGCCCCACACGTGTTCGTCTGATGTAAATGCATGTGCGATGTATGCGTACAGATCCGGTCGACACGTATGCCATTGCACGAAACGGAGCGCTTCTTCCTCTCGCGCCAGCGACTGGTGCAGCCAGACGCTGTTGACTGTATCGGACGCTCTTGCGCACGGTCGTGTCTCGGCGGTCGAGATCACTGAAGCGTGTGTACAACAGGTGGAACGTACGCGCGGGCTCAATATGTTTGTGTGCACGGACTTTGATCGGGCGTTGGCAGTGGCCAGAGCGTCGGACGAGCGTCGCGCTGCTGGCACGTCCATTGGACTGTTGGACGGCATCCCCATTGGTGTGAAAGACGTGTTTTGTATGGAAAACGTGCCCACGACTGCTGGCTCGCACATGCTGAAAGACTTTGTGTCGCCGTACGAGTCAACGGTCACCCAGAGACTGCTGGATCAAGGGGCCGTGCCTCTTGGCAAGCTGAACATGGACGAGTTTGCGATGGGCAGCGGGACGCTCTTTTCCAAGTTTGGTGCGACGATCAACCCGTGGTCGAAAGATCTTGGAGATCAAGCTGTTGTTGCTGGTGGCAGCTCAGGTGGCAGTGCCGCGGCAGTTGCTTCTGGGTGCTGCTTTGCAGCGTTAGGCTCGGATACGGGAGGTTCCGTGCGCCAGGTGGGCTAGATTTTGAGGGACTAGACGGACATGTGATGGATAGAGGCGTTGTAGCGTGCTGTGACATGCTTAGTGTTTGTTGTGTTGTGTCCTTTGCGCAGCCTGCTGCGTATTGTGGTGTTGTCGGGCTGAAGCCGACGTACGGGCGGGTGTCACGCCACGGTATGATCGCATATGCAAGTTCTCTCGATACGCCGGGCATTTTCGCGAGATCCGTTGGGTGCGTACCAAAAGGAATGAGAGGGCGAGTGCATGTACTTACTCTGGATAATTGTGACGGAACAGTGATGCCGCTGTAGTCCTAAATGCTATAGCGGGGCCAGACCCCATGGATTCGACGTGCTTGACCGATGCGTTGCCGGAAAAGTGGGTACGTTGTTGTTCGCACGCTATCACGACGAACACGCTGACGGCACATGATGCAACTAGTGCTCAAGCGTGGTTGAAACATCGGAAGACTGCAAGGAAGTTGATTTGACCGGTATACGAGTCGGTGTTCCGGCAGAATACTTTGTTCGTGAACTTCCGGAAGAAATTGTAGACGTGTGGAATCAAGGCATTAGATGGCTCCGTGACGCGGGTGCTCAAGTGGTTAGTCTTTCACTACCAACGACGAAGCTCTGTATTCCAGCGTACTACATTCTCGCGTGTGCCGAAGCATCGTCGAACTTGTCTCGCTATGACGGTGTTCGCTACGGTTATAGGTAAGATGCCGTTATGTGCTTTCATGCGCTACCGCTATGGTTCTCGATGACTGTATTGCGAAGGAGCATGTTGTTAATGCGTGTGCTGTGTATTGTCGTAGGGCAGCAAATGTTGCGTTGGAGTCACAGGAGGACCAGTCCGACGCTCTCCATGACCTGTACTGCAGAACACGATCGGAGGCTTTTGGAGACGAAGTACAGGTAGGCGAATGCTCTGTGCAGTGCGTTATGCTTGCAACATGGTAATGACCTTCGTTTGTTTTGCTCTGTAGCGTCGGATCCTCTCAGGTACGTTTGTGCTCTCAGCGGGTGCTGTGAGCGACTACTATGAACGAGGCACGATTTTACGCCAGCACATTCGTCGGGACTTCCAGCGAGCGTTTGGAGACCAAGGCATTGATGTTTTGTTGACCCCTTCGACGCCTTCGGGGCCTTTTTCTATCCATAACAAACAGGTGAAGGAGGATCCCGTCAGCATGTACCTGAACGATGTCATGACCGTTCCTGCGAATTTGGCTGGCGTCCCCTCTATCTCTCTTCCAGCTGCGCTGACGCAGAGTGGCGACTTGCCGCTCGGGCTTCAGCTCATGGGTCCTCACAAGAAGGAAGAGCGTCTGCTGCAGGTTGCGAGCGCCCTAGAACAGCGAGCGAATTTCCGTGAACTCGTTCCTGCACGTGTGTACGCAACCGGTAGATGAGATGGGATGCGGCAAAGATCTGTCGCCAAGCGGCATGATTGAAGATGCGCGGTGTTTTGGCTGATCCAACGCGTGTAGCTGACCCTGGTCATCCAGTAGACGTCGCCCGACCCCTACAATCGATGACCGCTGTCGCTATCACTCGCATTGTTGAGCGTTAGTCGTCGGAAAAAGAGCGGAAGTACGGCACTACAGCAACTTCAGCGGACCACGATGTCGACGATACTAAAAAAGCTGCAGTCCCCACGGTCTTTCACCACCTCAGTCATTGTTACTTGCCGCAAAGAAAAGTTGTAGTCGACATTGCATATGCTGCAGCCATAGTGTGCATCCGGCTATGTTCTGCCACAAGGAGTTTGCAAGCGTTGTGATTGACTTTATAGTTTGTACATCTCGAGACTTACAAGCAAAATCGCCAATGTCGAGACGCGTGTCTGTAGACAAGAGACTATAACTACTACTACTCCTACTGTACTACTACTACTACTACTACGACTACTACCGTCAACACTTTGTAGCTGTTACACGTGTTGAGTTCCCAAATACGGTCAAAGCACTGCACTGGACTCAATCCCGAAATTCGGATCCCTCCTCCCCCAACCGTTCAGTATCGATCCGAGCACCTCCCAATAGGTGTCTTCGGCAATGACCTTCTTGCCCGTTGTCGCGGTGCTGGTCGGTCTCGACCTTCTGTCAACTACCGCTGCCATCGGTCACATGCGAGCGGATGGAGGTCCGTTGTTCAACTCGTCCAAATACGTCGAACAGCTCACAAGTGCCAACTTTGGTGCGATGCTGAACAGTACGAACGCCATTTGGCTCGTGGACTTTTACTCGCCCTGGTGTCCTCACTGCCGGCAGTTTGCACCGATCTGGGAACAAGCGTCGACGGTCTACAAAGACGTGCGTGCGATCGCCTTTGGGGCTGTTGACTGCACCAAGCAGAACAAAATCTGCAACGACGAGGACGTGCACTCGTACCCGGGTGTCAAACTGTACCACGCGTCTCGAAAAGCCAATGCAACAGCAGCAGCAGCTATTGTTATGCACTCTGAAGAGTTCACGTCTGCCAAGGACGTGGTAACTTGGATTGAAGAGACGGTGAAAGCAAATGGATTGCAGCCGCTGCTCGACTCGACTGCAGTGTACCCGAAGCACACTACTGTTCAACGTGGTGAAAAGAAAACGTTTGGAGATCCAGTAGAACCGCTGCAGAACGACCGGTCGCCGGACGTGAGACTCCAGCGGCTACAAGACGCAGGTGCTACTGCGCTGTTTACTTTCGAAGACGGCTTTTTCTTGGGCACGACAGTGTTAGAAGGGAAGCGATACGAGGCGGCAGTCACGTGGATCCGAGCACTTGCTGCCTCGTTTCCTCGAAAGGAGAACCGTGAGGCATTGACGGTTCTTGTACGTGAGATAAAGCAGCGCGAGCGATGGGAACTAGCTGAGTGGAGGGAACTCTTGGACAAGTGGAAAGCTACTGCCAATGCAATGAGCGACCCGGCAAACTTGTTTCGTGACAAGGACAAGTTGGTGTTGTGCACAACTGCTACGTGTGGGCTCTGGACATTGTTTCACCTAATCACAGCAAGTGACAACACGTCAGCAGCGAGATCCGAGCCATGGAAGCCGAGTGAGGTCATGGAAGCTATCCGCCTCATGGTGAAACACTTTTTTGGATGCGACAAGTGCAGGCGTCATTTCCTTAAGATAAACTCAGACAGCGCAATGCAAAAGTTGGTGCTTCGAGATGACGACGGACCGGAAGCAGTCGTGCTCTGGTTGTGGATGTCTCACAATTTAGTGAATGCGGTCATTGGCAAGCCGATGTGGCCAACGCAGCGGTCCTGTCCTCAGTGCTACGTTGGCGGCAACGGTCCCCTAACTATGGATTCCAGTCGGCTGAATGAAGAAGACATTGTCGCGTATGTCCGAGATATCTACGAGTTTGGAGACGAGTTGACACTCGGACAGGAAAGCCGTGCATCGACATCGTGGGTATCACTGGGATCGATTGCCACAGCCGCTCTATTTTTTGCGATAGGTGCCGCTTTATTCCAGCTGCACAAACATCGCACAACTCAGCGCAAAACGCTTGACCACGCTGCATAGAGCTCCCACTCGCCATTTGATGGAGCTTCATGTGCAGCTGACTAACTGCCCACAAATGCATCACTAGTCCTGACGGAGCTCACATTTATTTCGCAACGCTGACGTCAGTGTAAATGTCTATCGGCGAGTGCGGTATCGATGGCCACATTTTTCTCTCCTCGTGGCTTCAGATACTGCTGTACGTCGGCACGACAACGGCCTCGTCGTTTTCATCGCGTCCGTCGAGCCAGAAGGTATTTTTCGTGAGATTTTTACCTATGCATTCGATTGCGGCTTTCCGTTTAGGTCGATTCCAACGGTCGGTCACTCCGTCTTCATCGATTACATAAGGTTTTGCAAGTGCCGGTTGATTGGTTTTGGGGTCCAAGTGCCTCAAAAACTTTCACATCAGAATGGCTCCTACCACTTTACTTCGAGTGCGTTCGCCTGCTCTTGTCTGGCACTGAGGATAGAATGTAAGCACCGTTGTAATGCCCGCTTCATTGCCAACTGTTGTGCTGCATACATAATGTCGGAACGACGATAGACAAGATACATTCGGGCATTCGGCTCGTGCGGCGTCATCTTCTTGGTGCGAAAACGTCAAGTAGATTGCGTTACAATCCAGCTTTTGCAGCGTCGGTCGTACCTGGCTCATCGCTCAGAACCATTTGTAGAGCCTGATCGCGTTGATTGGAAAAGTCCTTCCTCCTTTTCTGTGTTGATTGATACCAAAAGTTGCTGTACTTGGCGCGTCTACGGCACACACCAGACCTATGTTCGTTGTGACGTAATGCCTAACAACTTGCTCTCGTTCATGACCAACTCGAGGGAGGCAGTTCATGCAGTCAACGCGGACGAATTTCGTTGTATAGCATGTCCAGAAGAACGTGCTGTAGTTTATTTGCTACGGTTTGATAAACCAGGTAAAGCTCAATAGGGCTTCTGCGATTCCAGCGACATCTGCTTTACCGGACATACTGTGTAGATGGATTTTCGATCACGATTGCATAAGGTCATTGGTACGACTCGCAACGGCGACTAAAGGTGTAGCATGCAACGTCAGTATCGCTTCAAGAAAATCGCATCTTGGCAAGTGTGGAGATTGTCGCGTAGGATGTGGTATGTGCGCTAGAGAGTAACAACTATGTGCGAGGAAAAGTGTGGAAGGTCAAGTTCGAACAGCAGCAACGTTTCAACAAGTAGTTGAAGTCGGCGTGTACGCTCAATAACACTGACGATTCGCCAACAACGCACTTGCTTAGCTCCATCCATTCTACAATCGTAGTACGCAAGTGGCATGGAATACAAGCGCAACTGAGGCTGGTTGTGCAATGCTTCCGACGGGCGTATTGTCGTGCGAGCTGAATGCGGTATTGGAAGCGCTTGTTTTGCATGATACCAACGGAGAAAGAACCGGCGCATACTGGTGTTAGTCTTTGGACCAAATGCTTTTGTCAGCTATCCCTCGCCTGCACTACCATGAACAAGACAACTATTTGCCAACGAATCGCCTCCCTTTGTTAATAATTAAGGTAACGCTGCAGTAACAGAGCGTTTTCTCTCTCTCGCTCTGACAGTGCTTTTCGTTCCTTCTTGCGTACCGCTGCCGCTTGGGAGCCCTTGATCTTATTGTATCGGAAAAGTATCGACTGGAGGTACCCCATCTGGTTCCCATTCAATGGACCTGCGAGTTCAACGATCTTGTTCGCGTCAATCGTTTTGCCATCTTCCTTCTCCCGCGCCCGCGCAAGTAGCTGTTTTTCAACTTCCTGGACGGTTGTAGTCACCTGTTCATCGCTGTCTGCAGCGCGTGCTTTCGCTGTGATGACAGCAAGTTCATCATCAGCATGGGAAACCACGAGTTTCTTAACGTAGTCGACGTCTTTCACTGCCGCGTTTTGCTGTCGCCATTTGTCGACAAAAGCGTCCACAATTTTCACGTACACCTTGTCAAAGGCATTGTCGGCCCTGGGAAGTTTCAGCGCCGCCAAAACTTGTTCGGCCGACAGCGACTGCTTGTACCATTTTTTGATGATTTCCGTGAAGAACTTGCTTGCTATGAGGTTCTCGGGACCGTGTTTCATTAGAACAGGAGCCAGCTGGTCCACTCCGCCGTAGCCAGTGACTAGCGCATCAAGCAGCTCGACTTTTCGATGCCGGTACTGGTTGTTTGCTTTGAGGTAGCCGGCCAGCAGATCCAGTTTCCACGCTTCAGTGGTAAAGGTGTTGTCGCTTTTGACAGCGTACGTGACAAAGAACTTTTCAAGGCTTGTGTCGCGATGCACCAAGTCCCACGCTTTCTGCTTGAGCAATTCGGCAGCAGCTTTGCCCCGAAACCCACCAGCGGACCGAGCAGTAACGAGCATCTTTGCTACGCTCATCTCTCCGTAGTAAAGTGAAAGCGCATCAAACATCAATGGGCTGCCGGTCGGGTCCTTTTGCTTTTGTATCGAAAACAGTTTCATGAGTGCCTTCATGTCCGTTTCGCTCAATCCATTCCAGAGCTTTTGAAGGCCTGCGACGTTTTCTTCCACACGAGCGGAGGGTGCCGAAAGCTTTCCAGCCAGATTGCTTCCGTGCAGCTTTGCGAGCGCTTCCTCGCCGGTGGTTCCTTGGAAATGCCACTTGTTTGCTTTGACCAAGCTGGCGGGCTTTGCCCCGAGCGACTGAAGGCCTTCCGTCAATCGGCTGAAGTCGAGTGCCCGTTCTTCAGCGCCCGAAGAAGCGTTGGCGGCCCGTAATGTCCGCTTGGTGGTGTCGTGATGGACATCGGTCAGTTCCTCGGCCAAGTAGTTGCTCGTGCTCTGCGGGGAAGTGGGGGCTCCAGCGGATCCGGTCGTGCACGTCAGGTACGCCGCACATGGCAGGAGTACGACACCATAGAGACGCATTGTCAAGTGGGGCTTCGGCGCGCAAGTGGGTGCGTTGGAAAGTGAAGATCCGACGTGCGAAGAACTCGTTTGTTGTGTTCCATCCGGTCGACGCCCTGCGATCGGCGGCACTTTGTCGTTCATTCCCTCGTAACAGTTGCGTGCACGAGTTGCTGTGCAGTCCTGTATCTAGTGGTTGGTATCGAGACAAATCCCAATGGACCTGCCAGTATCGCCAAGGCGTTCCGACTCTCTCGCTCCACTCTCTCGCACGAGGCGTCGTGAGCAACTGGTTGCCAGACAGTGCATCGTTCATCCATAGTCGACACGGGCCAGAGCGCTACCAACAAAGAGCGAACAACCTGCTGCGTTAGTAGAACTCTACGCTAGCAGAGTCGCACATGTATAGTCAGTCACTGGAGAACCGGACACAGTCACGACGCACTCGTTGCATTGATACCACTTGGTCAGCGACAGTACGTACAAACGATAGATCGCACGCTCTGCTGCTAACAAAGTGAGGCTCGTCACCATACGACAGCGGAAAACAACATGGCGCGTGTTCATAGCGCCTCCGTCCGTACGATTTGACGTCGTTTGTGCCTCAGACAGACAGCGTCTTGAGAAACTCCACACTCACGCACGTTGTCTTGCGTTACAGCGCCTATCGCTTCGTTGATCCGAAGGCGCTGTTGAGACGTCGTCCCGTGCAGCGACAGGTAACTTCAATCGATTGACGAAGTGAGTTGAGACGTTGTCGTCAAGTGAGTAATGAGTGAGTGACGTCGCGCGGCCGTTTGATTGGAAAGCATCGAGTGGACGTGGAGGTCGCATGTCTACGCGGTGTATGTGGGCGAACAACTTGTTCGGTGACTACGACGCTTAACGCCTATACATCAACTGCTCAAGTACCTCTTCCGACCAACAGCCATCCACTTTGCTCGGAGGGCAGAAGAGCTCACTAGACTCGGGTACGGACGTGGCTCTCATGATGAGGGGGGGGTACGAATCGATGGCAACGTCACCGGCCCAACTCTCAAGATATCGAGACAGGCTGCCACGGAGAGCAGCCACGCGTGGATGAGCTACTGTGAAGCTACCGGTCGTTGTTTCGATCTGTACTGTTCCAGAAGAAACGAGTGTACGATCCAGGACGAGAGAACGACCTCGACGGGCAAGAGGCACGTGCTGTTGTTATATGTAGTTTATTGTCAGTCCTCTTGGTGATCGAACGACTCGCCCGAATCCAACCGCCAGGAGCCTACCCATCTCGTGGTAGTGGGCTAACTCCAAAGGCGCTGCCTTCAGTAGCAAACCTATGTCCAAGTTTGTTTCTCTGGTTTCGTCCGCAGTCGAAGGAGCCGCATGGATGGAATTTCAGTGACTGATGTGTGTCCCATGAGAAATTCCAGAACCACTTTCTCAGTAGGTATCAACTGCGCGAAGTCCGTCGCTGATACCTGAAGACGTGAAGACGTTTCGTGGCGTCCATAGCGATACAGACCAAGGTGACTGCTATTGTATTGGGACTCGCGTAGATGGTGTGCGAATGCACGACGTCGAGCGTATCAGCGATAGTGTGGCGTCGCGGAAGTGTGATGATGATGTAAGTGGGTTGCGTCGTATCATGTGTTGAATCAGCGCACTGCGCTGTCCCACTAGTAACCCTCTGAAACCCGCGTAGGTGTCCGTGGTGGGCTTTGCTGCATACGAAACACTGGCTGTCCAGTGCATTACACGGTGGAATTTTCGCCAGCACCCAAAGGAAAGATCGCCGAACCGGATTCGCCCGGTCCACGGTTGCCTCTAGCTCCGCCACCACCGAGAAACAGCACCGACTACACCTTTTGATGATGATTTCGGCTGACGAGTACTCGTGCAGATTGGTATCCAAGTCGGGAGATCGGCATCGGCACCTCTTCGATTGGCGCTGGAGCAACATCTCCGGGTGCGGTCAATATCGAGCACTTGTTCTCGGTATCCTGATGCCACTGGTCTTGCACTGTACTTTGGAATAGGGAAGGATATAGTATATTCTTTGCTCCTTCTGTGTACTCACGATGCAGATCCAGCGGAAGCAGAGCGTGCATAAGCAGGAGTGTGCATCCACAGAAGAAGAGGTTGTGAAAGTTCAACTCGTCATCGTTCTCTACAGCTTCGTGCGGTCTTGACGAAGAAACAACAGCATGACAGCGATGGGGAAATTGGCATCAGTCTCAGTCTCCGTTCAGTAACCAAATTGGTTGAGAAGCCATGACAAATCGGTAGTCGGTGAGGCAAAGTCTTCATGTATGAAGGGCCCATCTCTTGAAGTACACGAGTGGCTGAGGGCATTTGAGAAATCGGACCACTGTAACGGTAGAGAGAGAAGCTGTTTCTCGCCCGCTCTTCTGTGTCGCAGGAGAGCCAGCGGGTTAAGAGTGACAATACTGTTGTGGCTCTCTCTAGTTACTGATGCGTCTGTCTATTCTGTCAGTGTCTCTTCTCATCTAACAGGAGTAACACGCAACGAGGCAGATGCATTTCCGAGCGACATCTGCATCAGAAAAAAACAATGTACCGAACCGTTTGCGATGAATGGCTATGCCAGGTGTATAATATGGCGACACGTCTATCGAAAACGGCATACAAGGAACCTATCTGCAAGCACCTCCCCCCCTCGATTCCACGCCAATTGTTCGGAGACCAGCTCGTGATTGAAGAGCGCAAGGTGCGGTCATTGGTGTGAGGAAAGACGGCTGTTCGTCAGTCGGTGCGCTTGCACGACAAGGCTGCAAAAACTGCATGAAGTAGTGGCGATCGGGTTGCGGCCCCATCGTCAAGCCAGGCGTTACCGCGTTTTGATGACGACGCCGCTTGAGTGTATGCATACGCGACCCAGCAACCCCACCCCACCCACAACCGTGTGCCTGCTATCATCAAATCGTAGTGAAACGCTTCGTCTCACTTGGCCCAACGATCATGCAGCTTTCTAGCCGCAAGTTATAATCCGTCTCGCACCGCCTTCGCTAGTAACTGCATGTGTCTCTCTCGGTTGACGCTCCATCAAATAGACCATGCAAAGATTGGCTGGGGGAGTTCGAAACTTTTACATCTTTTCGGGAAGCACATGTGAACTTCTGACAGTAAAACATTGGCCGACTGATTGATTACTCCTGCTTTTGTCGCGTCAACTCGTTCAATACTGCAGTTTCAGGAATGGCGTGGGGGTAGCCAGACTCATTATTGCATCTGGCATCGTTGTTCGATAGTCGTTGATGCTGCTGCAGCACTCGGTTTCCTTAATCTTGCTCGCTAAACTTGTTCCTTCTCCTGGTTCTAAATCTGATCACGAAAGACCACGAGAGCACTTTGTGAATGCGAAGTTTGTACCTGTAAATGGAGATGCGATCCGAGAATATGATTCAACAAAACTATGACGCTGCTTAAAGCCACTGCCGCCTGGCAGGAATGTGCCGATAAGTACAAGTACGATAGCCTGTCGTGTCAACTCATTGGTATGAAGCTGTCGTCCATCCGATTGGGCTATATCATCGACACAGCACGTCGTGGATACGACATGAAGCACGAATGACGACAAAGTGGCAGTACCAATCGTTACTCGTGCAGTGCTCCCCAAAAGTAGTTGTGGACTCAATGGACGAGCGTTTGTACATATAGCAGACGCTGAGCTTATCGTATTGTTGCGGTACATGCATGCAGAACTACATCATTATGGGGCCTCGTATGATCACACGCTATTGCCCTTACATCCACACCCTTCCTGCTATCCCGATGTGCACACCATCCTCGTCCCTCACAATAACCACACCGCACAATGCTTCCGCCTGTAAAATTTGACCTTTCAGTCGGCAGCAGCTAGACATGCGATCCAGACGTTTTCACCCGGCCAAAATATTACGCTGTTTCGCTAAAATCTTCACTGTAAGGAAAGATGATGGTCTGCATACGATGTGACCGGGATGCCGTGTATGTGCAGAAGCTTGTAAGTTGCGCCGACATCAAATTTGACAACACCGAGTGGACTTCCCTATCTCCCTGAACGTGAATGTCCTCAAAACGTGACGTTACTAGAAGCCAAACGAGCTGAAGTGCAGCCACAACCGTGAGCCAGTATACGTTACCCATCTGGCCACTCGGCTCGCCGGTGGCTGACTGGCGGGCACGTCTTGAGATCGCAGCCACATGACCTTGGCAGGTTCAAATCCACGAAGGACTGCTCCAGCTATTTGGAAGGCCGATGAAGATCCGCCCTAGCGGGTTGAACTGCATTGTCCAGTGGGCGTGCAAAAGTACGGGAGGATATGCTAAATGAGATGACACCGGTTCAAGCTTTATTCAATGATTTGAGAACATCTGATTTTTGCGCCCTATCACATACGCGATGAGATGGAACAATTACCTTGTTGTTCATTTACACCGGAAGTCTTCGGCTTGCGCCTAAGTATTACCGTATTGCGCTTGTATGCGATACGTATAGGCAAGCAACAACGGCTTATCGTTGCTTCATGTATGAAGTAACAGGATTCAACATCCATTTCATTGCCTTCTGCTATGCATGAAAAAGAAGGCGAAGCCAGTTCCACGAGCATTTCGAAACTGGAAAGACCAGTTAGAGCTACTACAGCTCCTTACTGTCAAAGACGATGCAGATTCTGACAACCCCTGCGTAGAAACGAAGAGCCGTGGCCTTATGACTTCATTTAGCTCTGAATGCAAAATGCAGTGTAAAGTTCGTTGAATGAAGGGATAAATGAAATTGCAAGATAATCGCGAAAATAAACTTACACCAAACAATCGAAAGGAAAAAAACACTCCACTGATGTGTACAATGCAACAGAATATATACATGCCTGAGATCATATTCATGTTCTTCTACATATATCTGCTTCATTCCCTCTCTTGTTTCATTAATCAGAAACCTATGTACCTGAATTGCTAGCAGCCGTCTTGCACGAAGGACGACTCGAGCGTAGCCTGATAGCGCTGTTCGTCGTTCGATTGTAAGGCCACAATGAATTTGCCGCTTTTATTCAGATCGTATGCGTTAAATTGTAGTAACGTGCAGCTTATGTCTTGTCGGTATTGATTAAGGTTAATGAGATGAGACTGTGGTGTCAAAATGGCGCGTGCAAATGCTGTATAAGATATGTTGTGGTACGGCCGAGACAGCATGAGACGACAGATAGGCAAGCATAATCAAGACGAGACAAGATGGTGGCTATCTGATCGAAGTTCTCGTATACTATTGCTGGTAGTCACGCGGATGCTTGCCGATACTTAAGGCGAGTTGCGCGCCGCCAACACGCAATGCTGATACGATGGTGTGGTCCTTACAAAAAGAAGAAGCTGCTAATGGCGGTAGCGATGTAGGCGTTGATCCAGATATATTGTATTATGGATGCTATGAAGATAGACGCAACTTTGTGATCTGTAGTGGAGGGCATACCGCACATAAGCGTGGCAGCTCGGTCATCTTGATAAACATCGAACATAAGATACAATACACTGATACATCATTGCTCCATACATACTTACACAGTCACTCTACCTGCGAGGATATCGAAGTATGATGCTCTCTATGGTAGAGTTCACATACCCTGTGACAAAGGTACCGGCGTGTCAGCAACGTCGATGTTGTACACTGATGTGATCAATGAAGATAAAAGACTGATCCGGACTCCTCACTTCGCCGGACATGCTTTTTGTATATCTGCTACAGCACTTTCACAAAACATCGTCAAAGGATTCATCGTATTCTAATTGCTATCAGGGCATGTGCATACTCGGTCGTACATCACTCGTGCACTTTTGTGTCCTCTCATCTTCTGGTGCGTGCGTGCTCTATGCTCGTGATGACCGAGTGCACTTTTTTCTAATCCTCTAACAAACTACAGCACAAAGTGCTGCGACGTTAATCGCCTTCACAAGGCTTGTGCCCATCTTTTGTTAGAAGGTGAGCTGATTTCCATTTGTTGCTGCCAAACGGTGCTTTTCAAAGTAAGGTGGGTTGGCTCACTATTGCCTGAAATACCGCGTATGGGCATAAAAGCTCCTTCGTGGACACACACATCCAACCGGAGCTGAAGCCTGAACGCTGTTGGACTGTGCCATTTGCAGTGAAATATAGTGCGGTGGCGTAGAAGATGCTCATGTCTTGGCATGGGTCTAGTGGGAAGCAAGGCAAAAGTCTACCAGATATATACGAGCAAGATGTACTATATACCTTCAACTTGTAAACGACACATCATGCTAAACAGCCTGTTGGCGTCACTAGATCAGTCGCTAGCGGAAGGACGCAACACTGGCCACGATTCGATCACTTGAACACTTTCGTGCTTTTCTTCGTCACCATGTCGCGAACAGCAGTCGTGATTTGGTCCAAGATAGGGTGCGGGCTGAACTCTCGCGTGCACGCACTCTTCGTATCGGGTTGTTCGTACTGCAACACTTTTGCACCCAAAACCAACCTCGACGTGCTTGAGATGAAGCAGCCTTGCCACTTTGCGACGCTGTCTAAGGATGGAGGCGTAAAATCCACAGGAATGTCACTCTCTGCACAAGCGTCCAGTACGATAGACCTCACGGTGCCTTTCAAAATCCCTTCCTCCGCTGTCAACACCACCCCATCTTGGATTGTGTAAAAGTTGGTCTGAGACCCTTCAAACAAACATCTCGTTGTAGGGTCCATGAGGATCACCTCCTCCGTATCCGGTGCCATCCTGTCATAAATGGCTTTCCGCTCCTTTATCCATGCCGAATCTTTGACGATAGCATTATGACGGGGCAGACCTGCCACCTCTAGCTTCACCATCTCATTACGTAGCGGCGGTAAGAGCCCCACGTGGCACAAGACGTCGGTTTTGCACAGCACCTCTCCATCTACGGGGTCACCTTCAGCAGGACACACGAGCACATTGATCTTGTACTCCTGATCTTCGTGCACTTCGTATAGGTTCGTGAACGCCTCCATGGCTGCCATCATTGTCGCCTCGGTCCTTGGTCTCAACTCCCTCTCGACAGCACTAGGAAGCAGCACCTGCTTGTGTTTCTGCATCTCAATGGTCGACTCCACTGGTATCGCAACAGAAAACAATGTGTCAGTCAGTATATTTTTCCGAAATTTTATGAAATACATACTATAAATACTCAAATGCAGAATCACTCGGATATTTAGAATATGTTTATAGATATTAATGTGTAGGACAAACCTAAGCGACGGATATGCGCCTCGTAGTCGAAAATACGCGTCTGATGCACGGTGCGGGCGGCTGTGTATGCGCCACGAGGATGCGCTAGTAAGAACGCCGTGGCATCGACATCGCAGGGAATGGCCAGACCGTTCTTGGCTGCCGCTACGAGCAGCTTCTTTGGCGTTGTCATTGTTACTTTGGAAGAGATTAAGGTGCGCGAATTGTCAAAGAGCGATTAAGTTCAAAAGTCGCTGCTGAGATTCGTCTCGAGGAAGGCTGGAAGTTCGAATTGATGTCTGAAGTGACAAAAGGTGAATCTGATGGCTGAATTCGGCTTTTGTACCAGACAACGTATTCCTTCATTATGCGTCCCATACGAAACACAAGACACATGGACACGTGCACGTCTACTATCTGTACGCTTCCTTTTTTCCTCTAACCATGAACGGGGTCCTCGTTGTCGTCTCCGAGTCAACAATGCGTCCTGGTCGACTTGTTCGCATCTTTTTTCGGTCTTGATAAATCCGACGAGTGCCATTTGGTTGTCTGCGACAACAACGACTTGTTCAGTACATCGTCGCAGCGTCATATGGCTACCTATTGCTGCCATTATTTTACAACGCATATGATCCAATCTCATAACCACGGCGATTCCTCGCGACGTTGTCATCTATACTTCGTTCTTCGTCAATCTGCTGCCATGTCAGTCACCGCAGCAAGTCCAAAGTTCGCGCTTATCCCTTTTGACGTGCGCATCAGCGTTAGTTGTCACCACCGATGCGTGAACTGAGGTGCTCTGTCGGATGCAATGACGCGGTCGCGGCTGTCACGTGTGACATCCGGCGGCTCAAGAACGGTCATGGTGTACAGAGCGCAGTACATCTTGGAGACTACATCACAGTGCAGTCTCAATTCGCAGAATCCAACACGTCTGACCGAACACAATCGGACCGAGCTACACGTATGATGGGAATGCTCGCGTTCACCGACTGTGCGTCTACGCTATGTGGCTTCGCGCCACTATTGTCCTGTGAGAAGAAGTGCGATGTTTTCTTGTTGCAAAGGCTACACCCAGTAGCGCAAACAGCACCAATACGAGCATCATCGAGCTGAACACATCCATCGACGACCGCAGCGCAAATATATTGCCGTTTTGTGCAGCGTCCATGGCGCGTATTTCCTCATCATCATGGCCGTACGCACTTGTAACGTACGCCACTATTTCATCAGCATGAAGTCGCGCTGGGTCTAGAGATATGGACTCGCCATTTTCCACGTAGCAGACTGGACACATCTTCTTTGACGGCCACTGGTCTTTCTTTACGTTCTCATTCACCATATTGTGCATCTTCCATATCCACATTACCACGGCATCGGGTCCTTTTGTGTCCATAGCGCCGAGCTTTTCAATTACACTCGCTGGGTTCAAGCGCATGAAATGCTCTCGACACTCTTCGCAGCCGAAAAAGTTGTCAACGTACAGTCTGATAGATGCCATAATTTTACTCGGCTTCCATGGCTCCTCAGAAGAATTCTCAGTGATCTCTACTTTACTCACTGTCATGCTGTGAAACAGTGTCCACAGTCCGCACGTGTATGTCTCGCACAACGCCCACGTCTTGTGCTCACTTGACGCGAATAAATTCACCGGAAACGTTTTGTCACTCGTGAGTTCCTGCCACTCACTTAGCAACACGGTCCACTCGTCATGCGTCCAGCGTTTGCTCGTCATCATCGAATGCACGAGCATTACAAGTACCTGTCGATTCGCTTTGCCAGGGAACGACGCCGCGAGTGCCTTAATCCACATTAACGCCATCTCGTACCTCTCTCCTTCCAGTACATTGGCTCCCATGAAAAAGCCATTCTCAAACGTAGACACCGCGCCAATACCTGCGTCATGCAAGCGCCCGTACTTCATTTCCAATGACTGATCACTGTATTGCATCCTTTGTTTGTCTCCATCAACTACGATAGCGCCATTCTTTCGGACATTCGACAAGTGAGCTGCCAAGTTTTCCACATCCATTCCTGACTCGACACCATGCTCTTCCATGAGCTTTTCTGCCCACTGAATCACGGACTTTGCAGTACCAGCACCTCTTGGCATCATATAGGCCTCCTCTGCACTGGCTGGCACATGGTGAAGCTTCACGCCAGGGAATCCACGAATGTTCTCCTTATTGCAAAGTTCGCTGTTCTTGGTGCAATCCACGGCGCCCACTTGGACTTTGCTCGTCTCAGCATACACACTCGCCACTTTCTCCCACTCGGGCGCAAACTGGCGGCAGTGGGGACACCACGGCGCGTAATAGTCCACGAGCCAGACAGTGGTAGTGGTATCGTTCAATGTGGTGTCGTAGTTCTGCGCGTTGAGCGAATGCACTTGGAACGACGTGGTGAAGAGAGGACCCGTGTCGTGCGTGAAGAGCGAGAAGGCAGAGCACGGGCACAGCAGCAGCGCTGCAAACGCTGTCCATAGAAGAGGAAGAAGCCGCTGCGCTCGTGTCGACGGCATCGCAGCTACTGAATGATTTGCGACAGAGTGGTGCAAAGTGTGACGATTGGGGCCACAAAGTTAGCGAAACGAGTGAATGGAAAAATGACGTTGGGAATATTACGACAAGGAGGCAGACTGTAGCCATTGGTCTTCGTCGCAACCCGAGACGTGTGCTCATCTTGCAGGTGCACCAACGTGGGTATGAACGTCTCCTCGCATTCAGCTGCAGTACAACGTCCAGCGTCATGATACATTGAGGGCTGGTTGCTGACAAGCTGAGACCACTCAGGTGCAGTAGTGCCAGCGGCCACAGCAGCCGTCGCTCTTCCTAGTAGCCTTACCACAACACGGCCAGGTGCAGCAGCGTCTCAGGAGCGTTGCGAGCACTGCTGCGTACGTTGTTGAGGCTTCGATCACCTTGGGAAGTCAAGGCCTGTTTGAGATTCTGCAATTGCACGGCAGCCAATGTGGGTCCATGCGAGCAATGGACAGCCAGGCGGCGAATGTGAGAGGCGCGGAGCACTCGTTCCCAGTGTGCAAAACGCGTTGCAAAAGCTCACAGCCGTCACGAAGACAGCCACTCGGCTGACTGCAGTTGCAGATCGCTCCCATCGACCCGCACGTGTGAATCAGCTGCACATTGTGGTAGCAACGAGAGCCAATCGTGCGCCCACTGCGTCTCGACTCACACTTGCGTCCGTGCAACGTCGACTCGGAGCATATGGGCTCTGTTCCATCACTCAACTCAACGCACAGCGGGTATGCTGCATACACATCACAAGCTCCTGTCTATTGGGTTATCGACGCGGACTCTCTAGACGCCTTGGCCGTCTTCGTCTTGAGCTTCACATGAGCGACTTCCTCAACGACACGGGAGCAGCAGCAGTAGCAGCAGCTCAGCTGCAAACTTAGGCGCCGCCACCCACGAGGATGTTGTTGATAGGGATGTGCACGAGCTTAACGAAGAAGCCAATAAATCCCATCAGCAGAAAGCCCACTGACGTGGCGCCAGCGATGCGGGCAAACTCTGTCCCACAGAACCACAGTCAGCGCCTCTGTCTTCTCGCCTACCACCAAACGCAGTCATAACGCGGGCGAAAGGGTCTGCGCCAACAACGCACCTTTTCGGTCGGGTTTATTGCACTTCTTGATCAGGTGGAGACTGTTCTTGAAGAACTGGTTCAGTGGCTGGAACACGAGCGTATTGACGTCCGACATGGCGGAACTCGGCGGGGAAGATGAGCGCGAGGTGGAAAGTAAGGGACTAAGGAGCCACAGGGCCGACGGGCCACGCGGCGCGTTGTTGGATTGCGAGAAACGGACTTTCGACCAATCGCGCAGCAGGGGGCGAGCCACGTGTGCGGTGTGTGGTGTGGACTACACCACACGCACCCAATGCATTGGTATTGATATTGGACGTGAAGTGGTTTTGTTGCTTCGATAACGTGACACAACGAACGACAACACTGTGCGCGAGATGCGATATAGCGGTGTTGAAAAAAGCAGGAAAGTCTTGTATTTACTGGCCATGCATGACCTCTGGGGCACTTGTCCCCTTGCGATCGGAAATCAAGTCACTTGGCCGCTGCGTTGCACGATTGCATGTCGATGATTTAGATTAATGGGTGGCATACATGTCGTATTGCACGGAACCAAGCGGTACTTGTTGACGTGAGATACGACATTCTGGGACGAACGCAGAGCATTTTGAGCTGTGCTTTATACGGCTCGAAAATCAGCTCGTCGTGGTCCATGATTCCACTTCTGCCACTGATCGAACTAAACGATGACTGTTGATGTAGCGCTAGGATAATCAGACTCAGGCAGATGAAGTATTCTTATAACAAATCTCAGTCGGCAACGTCGACACTGAAGTAGAAGAAGGAATGTAAATCTGGTTCTGCGGTGCAAAACGATGAACACAGCTGTGTATGATCATATTGACGGATGGTGCTGACCTCCTCGAGGAATGCAACACTAGCAAGCATGTCAGCACGTGACGTGAAAGACCTTTTGGCAGTTGGTATGGTGAAATTTGACTGCGCTAGTAGCCGGCGCTTTGCCGATTCCTGCTCACGTTTGAGTGTTTCCAGTAATTGTTGGCTTAATCAGAGCTTGCTGTTCTAAACGCCGTCGCTTCCCATCCTGCAAATGCTTTGCACTTCGTGTCAGTTTTGCCAACTTAGCTGAGCTGAAGCCATTTATGTTGCGCACCCCGAGAAATTGCGGTTGCGCTAGCGACAAGGGCAGCTCAGATGTCTTGCGACACATTGTGAAAACGAACGACTTGCAGGCATGTGTATGCGGGTAGACGTCGACATCAACGCTTTCGCATAGACATAAGATTGTAGTTTGTATACGTGTGTTGTAATGCCAGGTACACAGCAATGATCTCACGTCGAATATGGACAACTCCGGGTGCCGAAGTGGGCTATAGCACAACGCGGAGAGATTACGATCAGTGGTGAACGCATTGCAAGTGTACGTAGCTTCGACGATAAGTGGTGAACGCATTGCATGTGTACATAGCTTGAGCCGATTGACTCCGCACTGTTTTAGTACATGTCAAAGCCGAAACGAGTGTATGCACCGAAACATCGCACAATCTTTTATGAACCTGCCCGATAGGATCAAAGAAGAACGAACAAATGCTTCACGACGCATGTTCAATTGACACCTGCACTCATGTGCTGATGCCACAATATCACGTGCAAATGAGCACAAAACGTGCGGTATTGTTAGCTTCTTGAACTCCTCCCTGGTAGCATAAATGGCAACAGACACGACAAGTCCGTCGTGAATGGAAAACGATCGTAGTCCTTTCGTGTCATTAGTATTACGCATTTCCTTGATCCGTACGGTGATGCTGGATTGCAAGGGCTCTTAACGCTTTGTTGTAGCGGATGACGCACTTTGGAATAACGTGTGCATGTAGCCGAATCGCATGTAGATACGATGGAATTAACTTCACGTCAGCTTCTCGTTAAACATAGAAGTGCTAGGTTGCTTGTCGACTCGAGGGATATGCTTGTAAAATACATTTTCGCACGAACGTCCGCGCTAAAGCATGGACGCCAAACTTTGTAGCTTACACTGGCACAGACCATGATTGTGGTATTGAAAAGGGTAGCTGGGATAGGATACATCCCGACAAACGGATGGTAATGAGAACCCTGAGTAGTCAGCATTCATGAAGCTGAGCTCATTGACACTTTGCATCTTGCCTTGGAGCTATCGACACTACGGCAGACTTCGCAACATGGCATATCATGTTGTTGCTCGCCCTGTGACAGCATGTGAGACGCAGTCATTGATCTTACCAATCTTACATTCAAACCAGTACAAGTGAGAAGCCAGATGGTGAACGGTCGTCATCTGAGTCTGAGCGTGAGGCTGTAGGAGACTCGGAGACTGAGCTGGTGGACACACAGATCGTTACGACAACATCGGATCTATCGGCGAGCGCGGTCGATGCTCATCCATAGAACACGTTCCGATGAGAGTTCGTTGACTGATGTTGTAGCAATTGTGTTGTGTGTAGCATTACTGTTACTGCCATGAAGCAGGCTATGAGAAATAACAGACACTAACGTCTAGCTTTCGCGCATCAAGAAGGGAAGGAAAGCTGGTGAATTGCTCTCAGTACCTTCAGCTTCAATCGCACGTGTTGCGACGCGTCGACGCAACATCTGCACCAGATCTGAGGTTATTGAGCGTGTTGCTAGTACTTACTAGCTTTCTAGCCTTCTCTATGAACTTGAAGACGTCAACACGTAAAACTGACCTTGCAGATGTCTGGATGCACACACACAGTGCCTTGAGATGCTATCAATGAGCTTGTGAGTGCAATATGAGTGCTATGGTGAGAGAAGCATCAGCTCTAGCGCTCGTGAATCATCGCATGTAATGCACAAATACATCTACATTGCAAATCCTGGACACAAAGGTGAGCCCCACTATCGTGCTGTATCGGAACAAAACACGGTACGCCATGTATTCTTGCTCTTGGTAAGTGTTGCACCTCAGTCCGCGACATTGCTGATCCCATGTTTCTTCATCCACAGATGTATCTCGTAATGGCGTGGTCTAGAATTCAATGTTGTATCAGCAGAGCACATTGTGTCGCTAAGAGAGCACTGGTGAATGCCGTGGAGATCAGTGGTGGAAGCATGACGAGTTTGTCCGCACTCGCTGATCAATCGTGTAAGAAAAGTTTACTCGAGAAGTTATCAGATGCATTGCTAGGATGCAAGTGTCTGTTGCCATGATTGAGCAATACCAACAAACTCTGCCTTGTTCCTCGTGACCTAGTAAGCGATAGAAAACTAGTCTACCGCCGCCGCAGTAGATATTCGGACCATCCAGCTCCTAATCTAAGCTACTGTGACAAGAAACTGCCTTGGTGATGCTAGACACGCGATGAAGAAGACACTGGGCATGAGTGACGAAACTGTTTCCTCGTAGCCCTACTTTGCGCCAAAGGGCCTGGAACTATGCATCGTGCTTGGCATGCAGCACAAGTGCATCGTTCGCACATTCCTATCAATGTGACGTGATACGTAGCTAACCTCTGCGGGCGACGTCAGACTTGTTCGTACTACGCATGAATTGCACGTATATCACCTACTCGCTAGTAGTTGATTAACGTGCTGCGTAGGACCCCCCTCCCCGCCCAACGATTATATCTCCTTCTGCTCAATCCGTTTACGGTCAATCAAAGAATACATATTGAAGTCAGAAGAGCGTTGCCAGGTATCATCCGTCAAAAACGATCCACCTCTCAATTTAGCGCAGCACAAAGTGCCCTTTTTCTCGTTTCCGAAAAAAACCCACCGGACTATTCCACGACAAAAAAGTAGTCAACTTTCGCTTTCTTGAAAAAAAGGAAACTATCGCACCACTTTTTTTCGCCAAAATGAAGCGACGCTTGAGCAGCGACTTGCCGCCTGCACAGCAGCCAGACAGCGACGTGCACTCGACAGTGGCAGCGCTCGTGGCTCAGCAAGTTGCAGCGGCACTGCTGTCTCCTCTCAACAGCAGCAACAGCTCCGTGCGCTTCGGCCGCGTGGCCTTTGCCGACAACGAGCAGCACAACGTGAACGCGTTTTTGCACCAGAAGCTCGGCAAGGACAGTCTCGCGCGTCGGCCGGGCCCGGGAGGCCGGAAGCTGACGTACATTGAGAGCTGCAAGGCCATTGAATTGGCCAATCGCGCGTTCGGGTTCAACGGCTGGTCGTGCCACATTGTCGAGTGCAAGGAAGAGTTTGTCCGTGTTGGGGACGTTTGGTCTCTTTTTTTCTTTTTTTTATAAAACGTGAAATCATGTGCCATGGGGTTGATGGTGACTTGCTATCCTGTGCATGTGTTCATGATTGCGGGTGTGTGTTGTTGTTGCAGAAGGAAAAAAAAGGGGACCGCTGGAGCATTGCCTACAGTTCGCTAGTGCGGATTGAGTTGAAGGATGGCACAAGTCATGAAGACGTGGGGTTTGGTGCGTCAGACGGACAGAAAGACTTGGGTGCGGCCTTGGAGCAGGCCAAGAAGGCTAGTGTGTCGGACGCTAGGAAGAGAGCGCTGAGGCTCTTTGGAGAGTATCTGGGTAACTCGTGCTACGACAGGGAGCATATCAAGGACGTGCACTCGAATCGACCCATGGCACCGCTGGCAGCAGCACCAAGCGTTGTTCTACCGGGACAGCCACAGAAGCAGCCATCGGTGTTGGAAAGAGGAGGCTCTGTGGGCCCACCGGCAGGAAATGGACAACCTGCAGTGCACAATGAACAAGCAATGAAGCCGCCACCACGAGAAGAGCATCAGCCACAGGATTCTCGGCACCAGCAGCCGCAGGCCCAACAGCCTCTTCGTCAGCACGTGCAGCCTCTGCCGTCCGCGCAGCATCAGCATCAGCATCAGCAACAACACCAGCAACAGCACCATTTGGCTCCGACACTTCAATCACGTCAGCCAATGCCGCAGCATCGGGGACAACCACAGCAACAACAGCAGTGGAAGCCACCTCAAAAGGTACATACTTCGTCCACCAGTATCGGGTGTCCGTCCGTGGAGCAGCGAAATAAGGCTATTCCAGCGGCCATTGTACGACCGCCGACAATGCAGACGACCTCGAGCAACAAGACAAGCAGTGCTTATGGATCCTCCAGTGTAACGACTTCGTCGAGTTCATCTTCGAGCCCGCTTCGTCCGCAGGTGCAGCGATGGGTCTCGTCGAACGCTCCGCCACCGCCACGTATGACGATGTCAAAGAACCCTCGTACAGTCTTCAAAACCGAGCAGCTTCCGACAGCCCAGGATCAGCAGGATGCGCGATACAATATTGACGATCTGAGCCTCTCACAATTTGATTACGATCCTACCGCGGAAAACAGCTCGGCCAAGCGAATGCGATCGTAACAGTTTGGTTCGTGCAGAAGCGTGAAGCGTAATTTTGGGTTATTTCAAGTTTTGAGAACAAGTGCAGTGAATGAATTGACGATGGAGTTCATGCACACGAATCCTATGGCGCGCTACTGTTCACTTCGTGCTCGTGTGCTCATAGCAAACGGTCTTGACACTTAGTTGCCTTGACTGTCTCCTTGAGGAGCACTAGAGCGATTTCGCGCTGCTGCCCCAGGTCACAAGTTACCATGATACCACGACCTTGAGGCAAAGGACGTCACATTCTGATCTCGAGAAGCGCCACAGCGGTATTTAGCATGATGTTAATCTGATGATCTAGCGTCAGGTGCTGCAAATTCGTCGGATGAAAGTGGCAACACACTCTTAACCACTGATCTCGCTGTTCTAGCTTGAGCAAATTTGCCTGACGCATCAGCAGCCTCTGGGCCTGGTATTGAGTACGAGGCCGAAGGTGCGCACGAGATATGCGTGCCTGTCAAGACGTACCTTTCCGCAGTGACGTTTTAAGGAGCTGCATCAGGATAACCACGAGGATGTGGAAAGAAACACTGAGTCGATTGGCACCATGTGTAGCGCCAGTGTACCCGCGTAGCCACTTCTGTCTTGAGTGCACTAGCAATGTCGCGGTCGTAATCCTATTGACGAGTCACGATAGTACGTTATGTCGAAACCGTTTGATACAGCCGCAGTCATTTCGCGGTCTCGCGCTCACGAATGTGCTAGGAACGTCACGGTAAGGTGCACAATTATCATGGCACTCCTGTCAACGGCTGTCACTTTACATAGAGTTTACGTTCGAGCAGGGATGCCAACCTCTGTGGTCAACGAAAACAAGCACCACCGTTTACTTGAGGAGGAGGTTAATCACGAAGCATCGAAAGGACCATGTATTATCCAGGTACGCATTCATAGTGTTGACGCACGAGAGCTTTTTCGTTGCTTGCCAGCACTCTCGGTACACCTCTTTTGCACCTATGCCTCATAGATGTACCTCTTTACTTGTGATCTGGCCAGTCAGTATCGATTAAAAGTATTGCAGACACACGAGAAGGGATCTGATCGGGCTGTTGGGAGGAGGAGGTGTATGTACCGGTCGTTGCATATGGTTGTTGAGATTTGTGACGTCTTTCAACCAGATTGCTAATGCTGGCGGAATTGGGGTATTTGAGGAAGGAGTGCAGTGGTCGAAAATCTGAAAGTCCATTCACGGTCGAAATATCTCCATTCAAGAAGAAACTCATCGACGCAATCAATAGGGAAAAGAAAACATTGGGTTGAGCAATCGTTTTTTGTGACGAAATTATAGAGAAAATTACTTTTCATCACACCTACCCGCCACGCTAAGTAAGTATCTGTAATCCACGATGATCTACAATACAGAAGCACAAGCTGAAAGAGCCACGGCCCCGCTAACAGACCACCATTCCACATACTTGTCGAAAGTCGTTTGACATCTTTGTTGGAGTTGTGTGGTGCGTCTCATGGAGACGACATCTGCAACGTCTTATTGCAAGGAACAGGAGTAAATCCATGGATACCATGGATTCAACTAATCTATTTTCGTGAACTTTTACCTGTGTGCAAGATCTCTGGTAGGTCTTTTCCAGGACGCAAGCTCCCGTGAGTGACCCGGGGCAAATCGTGGCTGACACCTTGTAATCTACCAGGTTTGCGCTCTAGCCACTCGGTGCAGGTAGAGAGCATGTCAACCGAAATGACAGACTCGACCTTGCGATGCGATCTCTTTGAGACAGCACGCAGGTGGCTTAAGCACGAATCTTCAAGATTGCTGTGTTCCCGCTAAAATTGGTAGTCGTTCCCAATCGACAGCGTCATTTCTTTCTGACCAGATCTTGGTGGCATAGATCGTGGAAAGGATGTACAAGGAGTTTGTCCCGAATCGTTGAGCTTGAAACCCCGACAAACATCTTGGAACCGGTCGTGTAACGGGGTAGCCTGTTACATGAAATTGTCATTAAGAACAATTTGACAATAAAAAATATTGCGTCAAATATTCTTTTAACAATATCACAGACATGGTGATATTGTTGAGATGACCGAATGGTCTACTCATTGGTTGATATCGTGATGATAGCAACCCATCAATCGCTGCTAGACGCGCGCAATGGGTGGTGAGTAGACGTCATCATACATTTAGTTACATTAGTATAATTAAGTCAGGACAAAAGAGATTCAAGAAGTAATAAGACTTAATTAGATTAATACAGTTTTCCTTTTATCAGAGACTAGTCTGACTACTTAGTCTCCTTTCCTTCCTCTGTGTTCCTTCAACACCTAGCAGGGCACTGTCGACCACTGTCGTCAATGAAGTATACTCCGTACTGGTCAACCAGTACGTAGTCAACAGTTCCCCGTTACAGGTCGGCTTTTAACCTCATCCTAAGTAAGTGCATACTGTGTACTTGCCTACAGTCGCACGCCTCATAGATTTTTTGCGTGTGTTGGAGATATGCTCGGTTCTCAGTCCAGCGCAAGACAACTTGTGGTTTCCCAAAAATAAATGAAGCAAGGTCTTCACACACTCTCTGCACGCTGGCAACTTTCTGCACCTGTTGTTATCGATTCGTCCAGCGTGGCACAAGATGAGGTATCCAGATACAACTCGAAACCCTGTCCAGACACGATGATCGGAGGATTCATTGCTATGTTTTCACACTTGCGACGATGATAGCCAATAAGCCGCGCGTTGCCACCTGTGTTTTTCGGCCTTCGCTGCGCACCGATCTACAGATTAGCAGTGGTCGAGCGAATATGCTTTTGCAAAACTTGACATTTCGAGTAAGTATCTAAGACCTGGACCTTGAATCAATATGGCGTTGCTTCTGTGATGGACCACGAGTACCGATGAAGCTGCAGGTGCGTCTAGAAGACGAGATATTATATGCGTAGAGCGTTATTCACCGTCATCAGTTTAACGAAGCAAAATTGTTTAAGGTCTGTAAGTACTTTATGTGTGGTAAACCATGCAGTCCATCGTCGCCCTGTATCAGAGCCACCGTCTGGAATATCCCTGCGCGCTGAATGTAATCCGACCGTCAAATAGATGTGACTTGAAGCCTCCCGCGAATCCTAGCCTTCAATGACGGTGCTTGCTAAGATTCTGTGGCAGTCGCGTATTGAGTCTGCTCCTACGTGTAATTTGGGCGCAAAGAGCAGGAGAGATGTTTTTCAGATGTTTCTCATAGAAGCATTGAAGTCGGGTACAATTAAAATACGCTGGATCTGCAATTGCAGAATGCTTTCCGGTTGACTTGTTTTTGTCTCGATTATCAGTCCGTCCTGAGTACAGTCCTCGATTTGTATGCTTATTTCTGAACATCTCCTTGCTGCCAGTTATGTGTCGTAGCCATGGATTTGCACTCCATTCGTATGTGACCGAGGACCCTTTGATTTCTTTCGGCATGTCGGCGGTGCCCGGTAGTTGTGTCGGAAAGGTGTCGCGATAAGTCGAAACAAACTTGTTATCATCCTGTCAGCTAGTGGGGCCTACAAGCAGAGCATCCGAGTGCTGGCTGACCCATTTGTGGGTTTGGAGCATCTCTGTCAAGTTATTACCAGCCGTTCCTTAAGCTCATACTGCAATTTAGGACCGATTCTTAAGTCCGTTGAGGTGGAGCCTACTGTTGACCTGTGCCTGATGTACTAAAGTCGCTTGCATTCCTGAACCTCCTCGACTAGACCATGCGCGTTAGTGATCAAACTACTTATCTTGTTTATGAGGTACCCAAGTAATCGCATGATTGATCCGTTGTTTTATACCTTTACATCTACGTCCACGCGGCCGATGCCTCCCGTGTGCTGCGTAGTCACAAGTGGCCGTAATTTTATGTAACGGCTTCTTCCTGTCGTCGTCACGTGTTCATATATAAATCGATTGTATAAATTGCGTAACTCCTTCTTCTCCAACCGTGGCAAGTCATGTACGATTGTATTGCTTAAATATTGGAATGAATAAATATGAAGTTAAGCATCACCGATATATTTGATGCGCTTGTTACCACCTGTGTCGCGGTCGGGAGAAGTGCTGTATCATGTTTATTCGCTAAGCCATGTACCTTAACGCATTTTTCGATACCGATCTTGTTCCTTAGGTACCGTGTCCTTTTTAAGAAACGATAGCAATAACCTCGTGTCGATCAGCGTTAGTTGCCCGGTTGAATTTGATGAGCTAGCTCTTCGCCAATTAAAAACGAAGCACGAATCCATTCCAAATACTCGAATGATGTTGAGAGCGTGCAAAACATACTTTATATTCTCGATGATAAGAGTAGAGTTATCAACGAAGGTCGAATAGATATCATACTTTCCAGGCTGCTCGGGCCTTCGCAAGCCTCGATATAAGTCTTACCGGATTGCAAATTTCAATCTTTACACCACGAGACGAGACAATACATTTGCGAGTGTGCAGCCTTTGCATATACCAAATCTTAACAAAAAGAGTTAAATGATGTCGATTGACGACGTGCCGGCGTGAACTTGTAGAGCACATTCAACGAAGCAATATTAAATCATAATCGACACATATTCTGAAACAGAAAGGCAACGGCCACCATATCGAAGACCATCCGAAGCTCCGGCAAATCTTTTCATTTTCTTTTGGCGCTGCCACATACTCTTGATCGCAAGCTGTCATGAGTTGAAACATCACCATCGCCACTTTTTTGTCCATTCTCCTCCTTCCGCCAAGTCCTGTTAGGATTCAACAAGATCCGGGCAGTGGCCATTGTACCCGCTTCCCCATTACCTTCGCAAAGAGCTTAAACAATTTGTTAGCAGAAAAATCGGTCTTAAATTCACGGCGCCTCTTGAGTCGCCTTATTAGAAGATTGAAATTATGATCTCATTGGAAGCGGGCGGAGATGGTTTTGCTCCATCGAGAACTAGTTTGATGACAATGACCAGCGCTGGCAACATGCGCACTTACATATCATTGTAAAAGCAACATTTCTCGCCATTAAGTACAGCCGCTTGTC